CTTCCTAATCCCCCCTGGGATTCACGCCATCAGGGTAACTTCTTTTTCAATTTTTTTATCTTTACGGTTATTAATACCGTGTTGAAACGTTGGTATTGCCCCAAATTATTAGGTAGTAAGTGATTATCATATATTCATAGTTCTGGTAAATCATTACGTGACATGGGACATATGTTGGAGTTTTGGATTGCTTAATCATTTTTTGGTAGTATTACACTTCTTTTAATATAAAATTTATTTATTAAAAATCATAATATTACAAAAATAAAAATCGTATAATTTTGTGTTAGTGTGTTGAAAAAAGTACATTAAAAATTTATATTATTAGAAATTTTTATTAAATTGATAAACTGACATGAAGACAAATCAAACTTAATTATGATTGTTATTTTTTAGTTAAAATTAGCATATTGTATCGGTAATTGTTGTTGATTTTAGTTGTTGACATGAAATGAGAATAACACCAACAATGATATAATTAGTATTGTAACTAATTTTAATTCTTTAGGGCATATGTTTTGGTGTCCCTTTTTTTTAACTGTTGAGAGTTAAAACGAAAAGGAAGAGGCCGTGGGGAAATTAAAATTTCAATAATGACATGGGGGAAGTTTTTTGTCCTTAAGGAAGGAGTGTTATACTAAGTCATCATAATAAATGTTTACAAGATGGCCTGTCCTTTACTGGGGTGGTAGGAATTAGGAAAACCTAAAACTGCTATTGTGATTACTAAAAGAGGCAAACAAATAAGAAAAGTCGTGACAAATATTTAATGTGGCCACATGCACTATCAAATTGACAGCGTGTCCCATATGATTGCTTGGCTATTTACATTCTGATAAAACGGTAGGAATAGGAGCTGGAGTATTCCACTTCAATGAGAAGTTTAATATATATGGAAATTATGGGGAACATATGCATGCAGTGACAAAGGAAAATAAATAGAATTGCTGATGTGGATGGAATGGATTTTTTACGCTGAAACTTTACAAGTTGAGATGTGTAAATTTTATGTCTATATCTTTTTTCTATATATAAATATTAAATAAGTAAAATCATATAAAAAATTAATGAGAATATAAGAAGATCCTCTCCCGAGTGCATGAGGAATGATTTGGGGAGGGGGCAGATCCTCAAAACTCTGCTGGAACATAAAAAAGGTTGATTTTTTTTCTATTATATGAAAATGAAATAGATTTAAATATACTTTTGTCTCTTCAATTATAACGAGTTTTAAAAATTATTTATTTAATTTTGTTCTCTAGATTTTTAAAAATAGTTGGTTTTAATCTCTCTGACTTATGTGACTTTGTGATGAGAAAATAATTGACATATATCTAATACCTCATGTTATTATTTAATATAGACTAAGAAATGTAAAGGCTAAAACTAAAAAATATATACAAATTAAAATCAAATTTTGATGTATTTTGAAGGATAAATACATATTTAACCCAACAAAATATTATGGGTACTGCAATGATCGCTGATCACCACTATCTAAATTCTTCTATATATAATGGGAAACAGATGTTCTCATATGGCTGTAATGACATATATGTTTCTGTATGATGCTCTCTTGATCGTTTCGTTCCACCTCACCAGTCATGAGGAACGAGCAATTGTCCATATAACAAAGCACGGAGTAAAACAATAGTTAAAGCTATAAGTATGGTTTTGGTAGCTTGTTAAATCCACTCAACCTAAGTTTAGTTTGGTAATTACTTGCGTTTGAATCCCGATTAAAAAGTTTCTCACGGTAAATTATTTAACTTGCACACATGAAGGAGGAGCTAGTTTCAACGTCCAAACATCAACCAAGCGTGAAAATGATTCCATGTTTTCCTCAAAAGCAATGCACGAAATGGCATTATTCCCCTTTGATTCAGAGCTTGAGAGTCCAGCCAAAAGGCTTAAGCATGTGTATCCATATAGTACAAGTGATGCAATGGACATTCGGAGAAAGATGCCTAGTGTGACTACTACTGGAGATGAACCCAGTGGGAAAAGAATAGAAGGGTTACAGGAAAGATCAAGTGTGTATTGCTTGTGTCTGCCATGGTAACTTTCTCTCTCCTGAAGAATTCGTGATGCATGCTGTTGGTAAGGAAGTGGAAGATCCCATGAAACACATCATTGTTTGTTCTGACTCATTTTGTATCAGTGGAGATGGAGTTGATTTTATCACTCACCCCTTTTACAATGTGTAGAAGTAGCAAAGAATACTAGTTCTGCATAATTATCTTATCTATGGTTAATTATTCTAGTTACAGTGTAACACAAAATTTTCATCAAAGATTATTTTTCCTATTCGTGAACCTTCATTTTGTATCTTCACAGGACACTTGGATTGGCCAAGCAATAAATTGAGACTTCCAAATTTGTTTGGAAGTCTGTCTACTTTATTTTGCACAAACAGAAGAAACAGTCATACCAACGATGATGCCTCAAGACTTTGATAACATAATTTTGCGTGTTTTGTTATTAAGTATGGTTTTATTATTATTTAGGGTGTTTTTACCTTTAATTTTTTGAAGTATTAAATATCTTAAAATATTTATGTTAATTTTATATAAATCTCAGTTTTTCAGGTTTAATTTGAAAACAGTTTTTAAAAAAATATTTTTACTTTAAAATTTATTTTCTCCAAATATGTTGTCTTGCTATTTTCAAATTATTTTACAAAAAATTAGTTTGACGATAAATCTGTTTCTCTTCTAATATATTATATTAAGAGCGACTAAATTTTTTTAAGTTATTCTAAAGGAAGGCATTTTTTTGTTTAAATTTATTTTTAAAATTAAATACACATTTTTTTATAATTTTAATTGTTAAACATGTGTTATATTTTATTTAAGTTGACTATACGTATATGTCTGAAATTTTTACTTAAATTTAAAATATTTGTATAATGCATGACACATTTATATGTTTTTAATAAAACTCATTTTAAGATACTTCGTACACGTTAGGGCTTTGGGCACATTGTTAAAACTCGATTTTGACCAAGTTGTTTTACATTATATTTTATATATTAAAAAGACTTTAGTTTGTTGTTTATAATAAGAAAAATAAAAATTAAATGACAACATACAATTTAAAAACTGAAAGAAAAAATGAATTTTTTTTGGCTGATTTTGTCTAAATTTGTTTGTTGTTTTATCATTCTTAAATGAAATTAAAATTATCTAAAATTAAGATTAACTTATTTTAAAATGTGTTTTATTTTACACAATATCCATTTTTATATAAAACTCTTTTTATGTACTCATATGTTATGCTACTTGTGAGGATAATTCAGTATATGATAAACTAGTTTAGTTGACATTTTTATATGAAGATCTTTTTCACCCTTTATATAACACTTTAGATATATTTTTTAGACTTTTTAATTCTAGGCATTTTGCATATTATATAGTTTTTTAATTTATAAATAACATTTTAAATCGTAGATAATAACTTCCTTATGTAATTTCATATACTTTGATCAGTCAATTAAAGCGTTCTTATCCTCAAGGTTGATGTCAATTTTTAAGCACAAATACGTGCCAACCATTCTCTCTATTCTAACATAAATAGTCCTGATTAATGAATTAAAACAAGTTAAATATAGGTTAACTGAAGTGAATGTACGTGACAGAATTTGGAGCTTAAAAACTTATTAATTTCAAGTGCTTCGTGCTCAATAAATTAAGTATTGGTCTTTTTGTAACGACGTCTCTTAAAAGTTATGTTGCTTTGAGAGTTGACTCAATTATTTTATCAAGTCTTGTTGAAGAAGTGGGGGTGCTGAGATCTGGGGAATGAATATATAATTTATGGCATTTAAGTATCTCATTAATTATTTTGTCGTATTAATAATTTTGGATCATCAAAGCAAATCATGAAAACGGTGTTGACTATACAGTCAAAAGATGCGATCCTTTCATTTAGGATATGTTTAGATATAATGAAGTGAAAAGGGGTTTATATTTTATTGTTTAGACGGTGAACAAACAATAATCAATTATATTTTTTATTTTTATAATATTTTTACATTAAAAATATAAAATATAAAATTTTAATTTTGATTTATTTTTTATTACAATTTTAATTATTATGCTATATATATACATGTATAAATTAAATTAAATCATTTCATAAGAATAAAAATAAATAATGTTATCTATAAAATACAATAAGCTATTTTGGGTATACTAGTTAAGATCTTAATACAAACAAAAAAGATATAACAATAATGTGATAAAACAATGTCTTAAATTTAGATGCAAAATATATAGCAATAAAAAGATGATAACAAAATAATTTAAATATTCCTCTTAAATCTGAGAGAATGAGTTTTATTAAATCTCACTATATTTCATCCTTATTTTATAAATTTAAATAATAAAATAAGATTCCATTCTATATTATTTCACCCATTCTATTATATTCCACCAATGTAAATACAACTTTAGATAACATTTAAATTCTTTTATAAGATACTATAAAAACTCTTGAAATGACAAATAATTTAGAATAGAGAAAGTATACAAGAGGTTAAATATATATATATATATATATATATAATTATTTTCTATATTATATTTTATTATTATATTGCTATTATCTTCCTAAATTATATTTATAAATTTTATTAATTAAATATTATTTAAATTAAATTGAATAAAAAATGTTGTCATATGTATAAACCAAAATACTATTTTAACTGTATTATTAGTTGGTGCATTTATATTATTGACCAATGAACACATAGGTAAGAGTCAATAGAAAAACATTAAACAAGAACTATAAAGGATTTCTAATTGTTGTTTAACAGATCCAAAATACGAGACATAATCAACAGATTAAAGAGACAACTAAAAGCATCTTCGTCTGAATTTTTTTTTTGCGTAGAAGCAATAACATCTGTAATTCTTTTTGTTAAAAAATGTGATTTGTCAAAGAATGCATAGAAGCTTAGATGATTTATATATATATATTTGAAGAACCTATATTGAGGTGGTGATATTTGGAAGGAAAGGAATAATAGATTTTGTCTTAAGCGTAACACAAAATTCGGGGAATATTCGAAGAGTCCATCAATTCGGCGCTAAGCAAAGGACTCTCACCAATAATTGAACTGTATTCATAGGATCTAATGTATTTTTACATACATAGGACTAGGAAAAAATTGAAGCCAGAAACACAACACTAACACTCTAATCATCCCCATGGCTTCCACGCCCAGTAAGGCTTTTTTACTTTTCAGAATCTATCTTCGTTTGCGTTCTTCTTTTTTGGGCATTCTCTTCGTTCAGATTTTTTTGTTTCTGTTCATCTAAGTGAGCATTTCTCGTTGTTCTGTTTGTGTTCCCTTTGGGCGAATAGGTTTCCTGCTGCTTCGAATTCTTTTGGGTAAATATGATTTGGAACCATTGTTGTTTTTATTAATCAATGAGCCTTTGCCGTTTAGTTTCTGAATGGATCACTGGTCTTCTTTCTTCCTTCAATTTTAGGATTTTCTGCCATGGTATTTTTTATTTTATTTTTTTGCAAATGACAGCTGTTTTTATTTATTTTTGATTGGGGGTGTGTTTTTAGGTCAATTTTTGGCATTTTCTTTTGTGGTATTACAAATTGAGTCAATCAGCATCCAATTTTGTCAGAATATCCAAATACATTGTCTTCTATTTTGTTTATTAATACCTGTTTATATAGAGCTTGCATCTTATCAGGTTTCGTTTTCTAATAAAAACATTATGAAATTTGGATGTATGTTTTTAATGTTTGCGTGAAAATAATTGTTTTTCCTGTAGTGTTTTCTGCTAAATATCTGGTAATTTGGTGTAATAATTCTAAACTTTTAACAGGTTTTGCACCTGTTGTGTTTCTATTGCTCATTTTTGGGTGCACTGCAAGGCCTTTGTATCCATCTTCTAGCAAAGGTGGTGATGGAAACAGGCAGCCTCTACAAACTTTTCGTCCATATAACATTGCACACCGCGGTTCAAATGGCGAGCTTCCTGAAGAAACTCGTCCTGCATACATGGTGAATAAGGGCATAATAACTATTTTGACAAAATTGCATTCGTTTTTCATTATTTTATAATCTGATTTGGATTTGGCCAAGAGTATATGCATAAAAATATAACATCAAAAGTTTTCCTGAGATGCTATCCCAGTTCTCTGTCCTTCACACGTGTTTTTATCTGGTGACCATACAAATGCAATCATGCTACAATTATGCAAACTGGTATTACGTACAATGCAGATAACATAATGATAAATGAGCATCACTTTTATCTTTGGCCTCTACTTGCCTAAAAATGAAAGTTCCTTGCAGAGAGCTATTGAAGAAGGTGCAGACTTCATTGAAACTGACATCTTATCATCCAAAGATGGTGTTCTTATATGTTTCCATGATGTTACCCTTGATGCTACTACTGATGTTGCAAGCCACAAAGAGTTTGCCAATCGTAAAAGAACATATGAAGTCGAGGGGGCCAATGTTACTGGCTTTTTTACTGGTACCAATGCTATTTTTTGTCTTCTTCCTTGCAAATTTTCTTTGTAAAATATATTTTGGTGGTTAATCTGATTGCTTCTGTGTACTGCTTATGACACAAATGCATAAGCTTGAAATTCATCTCAATTTTCGTTTAGTGATGTATATTCTAGAAGGATTGTTTATGTTTAAGTTCTTTATTTTTCTTGAAAGTCACTTTTTGGCATATAAACAAATCTGTTCTTGTGGAAAGAATCTAATTTGCTTAAATAATTATATTCATTTGTATATTTGCAGTTGATTTCACATTTAAAGAATTGGAGTCGTTGAGAGTGAAACAGAGGTGTAGCTTCAGGGATCAACAGTTCAATGGTTAGTATCTCCTTACATTTGGCAGCATCTCATTCTCTTACGTGTATATTTTGTTTGTTTGGCTTGTTCATGCATTGATTCTGAACTATTCTGTTGCTGCAGTTCATTAACTGGTATTTCTGAAATCATTATTATTAATAAAATTTTTAATTTGTGATAGATTTTGATGAGAATAAGATAGAATCCCAGAAGGAAATCTTCTTCACGAGTAAAAATTACTTCTCATCAAACAAAAATAGTGATACTGGAATAGAAGAAATGCAGAAAAGGCAGTAAAGAGAAACAGTCTGAGATGAAACATAGACTCTGCTCTACGTGCCTAAGCCACATAATCTTCTCCAAATTCTGTTGTCATGTATTTCCCACCCGTCCTTATTCATATCTTCTTTCCAGTCCCATCATTTCATGATTCACCTCTCCTATACCTTGCTGCCACATGTATATTCTGTTACACTTTCCCCCTACACCCAAAGAGTAGAACTATTCTTTTTTCATTTTTTGATAATCTGTCCGCTGATGACTTGGTTTTTTCTCTTGTGATTATTGTTTGAAACTACTATTGCTTTAGCACATATAAAAGCAGGTAGCTGTAAGTCTATAACCTTTTACTTGGAATCTCTTTCAGGAAAATTTCAAATAATCACTTTTGAAGAGTACATTTCCATAGCACTGGATGCACCCAGAGTTGTTGGAATATATCCAGAGATAAAAGATCCAGTATTTATCAATGAGCATGTGAGTGTTTCTCCCTATAAACCAATATATGGCTATATGTTTGGAGGGTGGGGAGACTTGTATCTCAAAAAGAGAAGTCATTCCAAAAGGAAGAACTATTGATATATAATTTGTCTAGTAGACAAATATATTAGACTTTGCCATTCTTATTCTACGTGTTTGATAGTACTGTGCTGGTCATATCTCGTAGAATCAAAGAAATAACTTCTCATCTTTACTTTAAATAAAGGCTAATGAGTATTATAGGTTCTGAGATTATATTATTGGAAATTTCGACGGAAGCAACTTGTACTAAGAGTTTTTATCATCTGTTGCAATGTTTACAAAAAATCTTACAATTTCATGCTTGATAATTTGGTGTTAAAAGTAATATCTAATATGTACTATTTGCCGATTTCTTTTAGATCTGTTTTTTGTTCATTAAGTTGTTACAATCAATAGGTGAAATGGGAAAATGGCAAAAGATTTGAGGACAAGTTTGTGGAGACACTTCAGAAATATGGATACATGGGTTCCTACCTGTCAAAAGATTGGTTGAAACAGCCTGCATTTATTCAGTCATTTGCTCCGACTTCACTTGTGTATATATCAGATAAAACAGACTTGCCCAAGATTTTCTTGATTGATGATATTACTGTTCGAACACAAGACACTAATCAGGTGTGCAATACATTTTACCCTTGATGCCTGAGCTGCTTTAGGATTATTGAACTTCTCTGCTGCATGCAAGTTTTCAGAACAAAATGTTTTCTTTTCAATGGATATTGTAATGCTTGTGGTCTGTGAAATTAATTTATATCATAATGTTGCATAATTACATCTTTAGACTTTAAAAGATCACAAACTTCGAAGAGAGAATGTAAGTAGCACCAATGATGAAGCTTTCTACATGTTTTTGTATGGAGTAGAACAGAGGACACTTTTTTTCTTGTTGCATAAATGGAGGAGCGAATGTATTCAGACTTACATTGTGTCCGAATACCTTGTTAAACACACTTCCATTTTTCCGCCTTTTACTTTAATTCTTAGCCAGGACACTCTATGCTGGCTTCCTTAAATAAAATGTTGAAATCGGATAAAAGTTTTGCCCTGATTGACTGTACCTTGATTATCCTTTGATACTACCCAGATTTTTGTACTTTCTGACCTTTCTTTTCAAACGTTATACTTTCTCCATCTTATGTTATTCAATGTTGTTTTCATTGTCCATTCCAAAACCTAACAAAATAGTATTAAAATGATGATGTGCAGTCATATTGGGAAATTACATCTGATAAATACCTAAACTACATAAAGCAATACGTTGTGGGAATTGGACCTTGGAAGGACACGTTGGTACCTGTGGTAAATAATTATGAGACAACACCTACTAATCTTGTTGCTAGAGCACATGCTCATAACCTCCAGGTACACTTCTATTCAAAGTTTGTTTTCTTTTAAATGATGTAATGGATTTGATAATTTTCCGAAGCTTACTCTTGATTTTATTGTCTTATATGTTTTATGAGAATCTGTTGACATTCCTACTCTTTAGTTTGTCATCAATTGTATTGTCTTCCATGAATGGTTTTGGAGCCAAACAAATGACAATTTGAACTGCTAATAATGAGGCAGGTGCATCCGTATACTTACCGAAATGAGAACCTATTTTTGCACTTCAACTTTAGTCAAGATCCATATTTGGAGTATGATTACTGGATCAACAAAATAGGAGTTGATGGTCTGTTTACAGACTTCACAGGAAGTCTTCATAGATTTCAGGAATGGACATCCTCTAAACATCATGACATTGACGACAAGAGTGCATCCAAGCTATTGCATAAAATTGCTTTATTGGTCTCCTCTTATGAATGATCTTAAGAAGTCAAGATGGGCGTATAGGTGTTTGGATTTACTGTTTCTGTTTTCAAAAAGCTTATATCAACATGTACACGATAGTTTTTTATTAGTTGTCTAAAAATTAAGCAATGTCAAGCATTTAGTGAGATAATACGTATTGTAATCTATTTAAACATGATTAGAGGATTTTTGCTCCTCGGTAATAAGGAGGTTTCTTTTTTCAAGTAATAAACAGTAGAGTTCTGCTGCTATTCTTGGGTGAAAAATATACATGCTATGATTACTAAGGGGGTTGTCTGATAATAGAGTTTTTAGAGGGGAAAATATATTTAAAATTAATATTTTTTTATAATAAAAGATATAAATTAATACATTTAAATAAACTTAATGTATTAATTATATATTTAGTACCATAAATGAAATAGTTTCTTTAATTTAAAATTAAAAAAAACTGTAAAAGGTTGAAAATGATTAAAATATCCCTGAATTAACCCCAATTACATTTTATTTTAAAATGTGTTACAACCTGTGATGTTGATTTGATTTGCGAATCAGACATCCACTAAATCAACGTTTACTAATGTCGTATAATATTGGTGGAGTCCATGTTAATATTTAACCATTAGATTAATGATTCATTTACGGCAGTTACGGAATAACTAACTTGGAAGGATATGCTGATTCGAAACCAAACGAAAGCGGCCACATCCCCGCGTCACTGATTGCCTTTAGTCATTTCCTAGGGTTTGAGTCTTTTAGGTAATGTTGGTATTTAGTAAAATTATTTGTGCCTGTTTTTCGGAGCTTAGATCAGCAGGCGTTGTTCAAGATTGGGTTCCAGCTAGACACTTTGGAGGATGTTCTTTTATGCAGGTGGTGTTTGGAGTCTTTTCCATCCATAGGCTAACCGCAATAACAATATTCAGACCTACCATGTCTGTGTTTGGAATAATTATGAAAAAAAAACCATTTTAATAATAGATTATAAATGTAATCAATTACTTTTTTAAATATAATAACTTGTAGAAAATATATAAAATTCATTTTAAATAACTACTGTGTTTAAAATAACCATTATAAATAAAATAAAAATTAACTAAAACCATTTAACCATAATCTCCAAAATTTTACTCGTATGTTGGAATATTACAATATAAATTAACAAAATGTTTGAAGAGTACACTTCTTTCTTCTATCAACAATATTATTTTTTTAAAAAAATAATTAATCCAAACATGGTCCATACAGGTCGAGCATGATTAATTCACTTCAACCTAAACGAGAAAAAGCTTAAAGATATTCTGAAGGATCAGGTACCTGACATCATAATGTAAAACCATCAACAATCCGACTTGAGAAATTCTCGAGCAGATTTCAGGAATTCAGTAAGAGGTACAAGATAAACCACCTAAGGAATTAATAATTACAAGCATTAACATTACTCAAATATCGTTAACCAAAAGATCAAGAAGCTGTAAGTCAGCAGATCTGTCCTACTGAGAAGCTCTCATCTTTGATATTTCTTCCAGGAGAACTCTTGACTCAGCAGCGAAGTCAACAGGAACAACTGCCCGGGCTGTTATCCGTTGCCTCTTCTCGTTATTATACTCATTTTGAGTAACACTGACCCGGAAAAGATGCGGAACCCATGTAGCTTGCTTCAATTTCAGCTGATATGGATTATCTTCTCCTTCCTGAAATAAATAAAAGAATTTTAATATTAAAATAATATTTTATCATTGTGCTCCAAGAATTAAGACACAGGGTAACTGGTGTTACTTGTGATCGTAAGTTATCTAGATCATCAGCAGAGCATCCAACGATCTTCTCAGCTTCCTCATTAAAGACGGAGATAAAAGCCTCACCAGTTGCATCAGCAACTTTGGCAACCATAATATACCTGAAAGGAACAAAGTGAAAAATTATAAACACGGAGATTATCTAGAAAATTTCAAAACTAAATATGATCACTGCATTACCTTAAACTGCACTGTTCATCGTTTTTCTGACAACCTTCGCACCAGTATCCAGAACCAATGCTTTCAGTAACTTTTTTATTGCATGTCTTACAGGCACGATACCACATTGCCTGATCAGCCTTGATGAAGTTTATATATCCTCTAATGCTGAAAAACGCAGGCTATACAAAGCAACAAAAGAGACAAGTTAGACTAGTGATTCAGATGCCAATAAATTAGAAATTGCAAGAGCTTCAATAACAGTTTCCAATACAGGAAAGTTAGCACCCAACCCAAAACAATGTGCGGTATTATTACATAAGGAACTGCACTATTTTGAAATCAATACCTTGCCATCCCCCAACATTGGGGTTGAGATTATGTGAGAGAGAGACACACGATCAGAGTACACTGATCTAATTCCATTGTTAGATATTGGACTTGAACCAGAGCCTACAGAGTCCATGGAAGCATCCTTTCCTTCAAAATCATACCTGTGGCCCAGATAAGAATATAAATATGGTCATAAAAATATCACAACCAGAGAGGCAACAACTGACAAGCGAACAATAACATACCAGCTTCTGAGTTTCTTTGCTTCAGGTATGTCTGGATTTATCAGAACCGCACTTTTGCTTATGGTTGACAAAGAAACGCCTGAAACAAAGATTCAAGAACAATAAATACATTAGCCTCTTGCACCCTTGTCGTGAAATAACTATCAAAAGCATACACCATAGCATACCTTGGAAGTCCCCAACCTTGAGAGATTTGATTGCAACAACAGGAGACTTATCAGCAATATCCAGTAACTCTTGTCCTATGTTAGTAGCTAGTTCATTCCACAAGGAAACAACTACTGTCTTCTTCCTGAAATAAAAAGTAAGGTATGAAGTTCCACAATAATAAAAAGGAACCAATGCTAACACTGTAGGTGAGTAGAAGCAAGCACTCACGTTTCATCAGCAATAGTGATGTCACGCTTTGGAATACCCTCATTGTCACTCTTCCTTCGAATGCTCATTGTTGAAGATACATTCTTAACAACTCCAACTACATCTGAGATTCATAACAACAATATTCAATAAAAGAGCAGCAAAATAATAATACACGGAGATTAACATGTTCTAGACATTACTCATCACTCACCAACGAGGTCAGTCTTATTGACATGAGGACCCAGCTGATCAATCGGGACGAATTTGAATTTTGTTTCTGGAACAAAACTTGCCTCACCATCCACCTCTTCCACCTCAGAATTCTCATTCAGGGTCATTTCATAATCATTTTGCACAGTCTTGAACTGCTTGTTAGCTACTTTTAAAGTTCCCTTTGAAATATAATAAACTTTTCCCAGAACAAATTTGTCAAAAAATTTCCTCGCAGCATCATTAAACATTGTTGCTTGAATCTGAGTACCCTGATAATATTTCATTTAACAAAATAAAAACAAAATTACCTTCTACACTTGAAGAACAAGACAACATTTAAATGCAAACATGTAAGATAATAATCAAATAGGCAATGATTCTTACATCTTCATCCGTCAATTCCACATTGAAGACACAACCTTCCCCTCTGGCATTCCTATATGTACGCATGTTCCCTTTGCTCGTAACACTAACCTTTATTGTCCAATTACCCTGATAAGGATTCAACGAAACAAGAGGACGTACCCTACGCGTCATGGCCATTCGTGCAGCAGGAGCCGAACTGAAAAGAAAAAATACAACCTTTTTAAAACCCCTAAAAATTTCAATACACATTGAAACAAAATAAAAATTGTACCACTCACTTTCCATGCTGTTCATGCACAATCTGAGCAGCAGATTTTGCCACCACTTCCTGCTTCGGTTTCAAAAGAATCCCAACAGAACCTTCACTCTTGACTCCACTCTCTTCCTTAGGCTTCAAAAGAAGTTCAGATTCCTCACTCTTTATCTCCATTTGAAGCGCGGGAGAAACCGGTTCACATTTCGAAACAATGAGATATCTACAACACCAAGAACAAAAATCACGAATCGGCTACGGAAACAGATATATATGAAACGGTGAGTACAGAGAAATTAGGGCTTACTTCTCAGACTTATTGGGAATATCATTGAGAGTGTAATCAATAATGCGAATAAGACCAAGGTTCTGAATATTCCCCGACAGCACCTCGGAGTAATGATTTGAAGGAAGAATCGCCCTCAGCTTCATTTTTCCATCACTAGCAGTGAACCTATGTTATCAAATCAAAAAATACATATTAATAAAACGTGCAGATACAGATCTGGAATCATAATAGGAAACCCTAAGGAGAGGCGTTGGTAAGAGAAAACGTACATGTATCTGTTGCCGCTCTGCTTGAGATCGAGAACTTGGACGACGATGTAGGGAAGATCCGATGAAGAATCAGGGGAAGGGTTAGCGAGAAGCGTTGAGATGGCTTCTGGGGTTACTGATTTCGCCGCCATTGGAATTTGGAAGAATATAGTGTTAGGGAAAATTTGAAGAATGGAAGAAGAGAATGTGGAGAAGGAGAGTGAGTGAGAGAGTGGTTTTTGTATTGTAAGAGTTGTGGAATGGGCGGGAATTGGCTTTGAAGTGATGCGTTGTTGGCGGCGTTTTGAATTCTTTTGTGGGCTTCGCGCTTTGTTTTTTCACTAACCCACTGGCGCCATATGTTCCGCGTTTTCAATCAAATTGACTATTTGTCTAATGATATTTTTATTTTTTAAGAAAAACAGTTATTTACTAGTGATGTTTAATAATATTTTGTTAAATACTTATTAAAAATATAAAATATATGTGATATTCTATAAAAACTGAAGTTGTAAAAGTCTAATTAAAAATTTTTAAGTACTTAATAATACAGAAATTTATAATTTTTTAGCATGATTCTTCTTTCCTTAAAAAAATTAAAGATTGGAAATTAAATATTAATGTAAAGATAATTATTGTAATAATAAAAGTCTAAATGTTACTTGAAAAAATAAAATACATAATACAAATAATATGTTTTAATAATATAAATTATAAAACAAAGTGTGATATTAATTTACAATTTTTAAAATAATACTTTTTTAAAATTTATATATGGTTAAAAAAAAATTATGATATCTTGTAAATTAAAAGAATATTTTTTACTTTTTCATACGTGCAATAATTTTTTTTAAATTTTATGTGAATAGAAAGCAAATTTAATAATTTATTTAAAAAACATAAAAATATTTTTTAATCTTTAAAACATTAAAAGAAGAATCACAACTGTCAAAATAAAAAAAATGTATAATGCTCTCTTAATTTTACAAGTATTACAGTAAATGCCATTAAAAAAATATTAGTTATTTTAACAAAATAATAACCATTGTCAATATATAATACTTTATTTAAAAAAATTACTACAAAGAAAAAAAAATTGAATTATAATGCCTATTTGAGCGAAATAACATAAGATGAGGAGCATAATTTATCCGAAACAGATTAAAAAAATATTAAGTCAGTAATAAGATGATAGAATGTCAAATTCATAACACGAATAAAATGTTTGAATCAAATTGTAGGAAATTTAAGTATAATTTACTCTGAAACCTCGCAGATTGAGGAGCATTAAGTGCTTCTACACAGCACAGCTAATTCTTGATGCGCACTACAGTTATGGAATTTCAGGAAAAATACCTTTGCCATTTCGTTGTTAATCTGTTAATAGCACAATTAAACTACAATCTATCATACAACGCCAATCAGAAATTTCCCTGATTTCCCAACTAGAAGGTACATAGCACAAATAAAATTAGAATTAAAACTAACTGACTAAAGTTATTTTGCTATGCAGATGATGCATAACACTAGCTTAATAAGACCATAAAGATAGTTAATGATTTTGGCATAAGACAAGAGACTCTGAAGTGATGATCTTCTACTATCCCCTAATTACAGAATGGACAACATGCGAAGCAACCCAACCATTTGTTAGGAGGTGCATTTGTTGCTGACTGTGGGGTCTGATCATCTGCCTTTGTTGTTTCTGTTTCCTTTGTTTGCTTCTCTTGATCTTGCTTCTCTCTCACACTCTTGGATGAAATACTTTTATCTCGGCCTTTCGATCTTCACATCGTAAAAAAATGAACCAATGTAATATCAATTCAAATTCCATCATTATCAAGAAGCATGCACCATCATCTCTTTACATAAAGTACACTGATTAGAAGATTTATTTCTCAAATGATTATTCATGTATTAACATGGATATTAAATTGAGCAGCAGCATTTCTACATATAATATAATATAAAGGGTCTTGTTAACTAGGACAATGGTTAAAGAATCAATAAAATAATACATTTTTGTTAAAAAAAAATAAGTTGGAATGCATTAAAAAAAATGTGAGTGATTTTTACGTTTTTCAACAAAATAAATTTACTTTTTATTCTTCAACCAGTGCTCTAAGGGATCTTGATAGCATTTTCTTATAACAGAATAGTCAATAATAAAAGCTTACGATTGAAATGCATAGGAATTGGAGCTCCCCTCTGATTGGCAATGAGAATTGGGATCTTTATCATCTCTGTTACCAGCGCTTTCTGTGGTTAGGCTACTTTCCATTATAACTTCTCTCATTGTCTCAGCAGCTTTTGCTTCGGTTACTTTAGAACTTTCTTCATGTAGTTCAGCAGTTCTTTGGCTAATATCATTGAATTTGTTGACAGGGGTAGGTGGCTGGTTACTTGGTGAAGCATTTGGTTGGTCATGGATGCATACATCACCAGGCTTATCCAACTCACAGGATTTAAAGCAAGCTAGATCATTTGAGAAGCTCATATTTCCCATGTAAATGCTGAACAAGGACTCATTAGAAGCAGTGCTCCATTCCACTGGGGCATTTGTGCTGTTTCTAGAAAAGACATGTGATGGAAAAGTATATTGAGAAGATGCATTTGATTCATTTGGTCGCTCCATAACCTGCACTGGAGGATTTTGTATTTCTAATCCTTCGTTTGTGCGAGTTTCACTAGTTGAATCACGAGTAGCTATCACATCATGGATTTGCTCTTGGCTTGAAGATTCAGAAGCTGGGGAAACTGGTGTCCCCATGTTACTGTTAACCATGCCTTGAAAGGGATCATGTGATTCAGCATTTATGGGAACAGTATCAATTGCAGATGATTGGTTTTGCGATGATTCCAATGCACCATTTGTGTTTGTTGGCTCATGGAATGGATTTCCTGATGATGATTCATATGTAGACGGTGTAAATGATGAATAAAGGCCTAATATATCTTCAGTTGAAAAATGTTGTGTACCACTTTGAGAGCCAACTAGGTTTGTGTTTGAATTACCATTATTACATCCATTACCTTTGCCTGTTGCATCATTCATCTCTAAGAAGGGGTTTTGGGATGATGATGTAGAATTATTGCTCAATGTAGAAGGATGAGCATCCAAATGGTTATTTTTTGTGCTTCCATGTATTTGTTCTGTTAATGGAGATGTTTGATGCAATGTATCTTCACCTGTATTTGTTGCAAAACCAGTTCCGACGCTAGCACTAGATCTGTCACCCCCAGTTTCCATCAGCCACCAACGTCAAATGATACAAGGTCCAAAGGTTCTGACGGAAAATTTACTAAGCTGTAAAGTTATAAAATAAAAACTCACATCATAATCAACACAGAGTGTTTTTTATGTAAAAAAAACTAAAGAAGATAGGATTTGCTTCAAATTAACTAACTTGTTGAACTCTCTTTAGTTTTGTAGGCTTTAGGTGTTGGTTAAAATAAAGATGAACATAAAATGAGTCAACTAAGGTGAGAGAACATATCGTTAGCTTGATAGAGCCAAGAAAAATGAAGGGGTAAAATTTTATTCAGCCAACAAAAACACTAGAGAAAACTACAAACATAAATAAATAAAGTCGAGCACAAAATTCAATGTCAACAAAATATAGTTTTCAATTGATCAATCTATGCATCTCTGGTATTTGGCCAATAAAACATCCAAGAGGAAGGAAACAATAAAAACAAACTGGAAATCTTTGCATCATAATATACCATTTAGGCAAACAAATATCAGACAATGATTGAAATTCTAGAGACATCATGGCAAAGCAAACAAAACCCATCTTCATGCAAAAAGAAAAATTAGAGACGAAACTAGATTCCTAAAAATTAAATTCAAAATATGCAGAGAAAATGAGAACATTACATAAAAAATCAATGTGCCGGGAAGATCCAAAGAGACTGCCGACCAAGCCCCTACTGAAATCAACTAAGTCAGATATGGCAAATGAATCAGCAGTCCCATTTCCTCCCCGAACTAACAAAGATGAAATATGTCAAGAAAAATTGGGGAAGATATATTGAAAAACATGACAAATGGAGAGAAAAAGAGAGAAAGAAATAATGAAAATGCTGAAATGGAACAAGCAAGCAAAAATGTTAAATAATACATATGGTGTTGCACAAGTTTAGGGGTTGCATTCTCACATATTCCTAAAGTAAACAATTAACGAACTTCGGTTGTAATACGCGCCAAGATGTCATTGTGCCAACTATTAACCATTGTCATCTTGTGCTGTATTATGCATGCATGGTTTTCATGTACGATCCTCTGGAACACGAGATAAAAAATAAATCTAGTTAGCAATCATCTTGTTTTAATAAGCTTGTATTTCTTATCATTCCAAATTTTTTGGATAGATATAACAAGGGTACCAAAATATTACGTGTAACATACAATGAACTCATTCTTTTTTTTTTTTCAATTTTAACTGATATATAGAAATTATTAACTTTCTAATTAATTTATTTATTTTTATTGTATTTGAACACAAAATATTAGTATCATAATTAAATATACAATTTTTAAAATAATACTAAATCTATATTAAGATAAAAGAGTTATATATGACAAGATATATATTAATACAAATTAATGTATTAATACTATTAAATGTTATAATTTTTAATAAAAAAATATTATATATAATTTTTTATCTTATATGGTGTGATGTTTTTATAAAAAATTGATGCATAAACAATTGATAATATTTCTAGTTTTAATTTTTAATTCAAGTAATTAAAAAGAAAGATTGGGTATAAAACAAGAGAAAAAAATGGTGATGAATAGTAGGATATAATAGCCTAATAAAGTTCTTTGTAAGCAAGTTTGTAACATTTGTAGATATAGATGCCATTTTTGTGATGATGTTATGGCAAACTTTCTTTACCACAAGGAACATCATTGAAAACAATATTTGTATGATTGTGACATATTAATGAAAAACCTGCACTGTTTAATTTTATAGAAAATCAAAAGTAAAATAATTTTTTTAGTTGTTTGAATAACAAAAAAATTAAAGTGAAAGAAATATACGTGAGTCCTACATCTTCTTTAATTTATACATTCTTTACCCAAAAATGAAATTGTATGTATTTCTTTGTTTATTCTATTTATGCCCTTGTTTTTATGGCTGTCTTGTCCAACACGTTCTTTACGTTGCCGGCTTGTAGCTTGGGTCGTGAACATTATATTCTAATAGGTTGAAAATGATTTTTCATTTCGTTAAAATATTTGATCACCGGAGAAGTTAAGCATACATGCATGTGTAATAAAAGTTCATTTTTACCCTCATCCATAATTTTTAGGGTTTTGGTAATGCCAACTCTAAAGAGAACTGAATTAAACATTCATAAACAGTTAAAAAAAACATTTTATTATGCATTTATAATTTTAATATGATAAATATATAAAATTTTCATAAAAAAAAAAACTTCTATTCATGGTTGCTTAAACTTAACTCTTAAAAGTTTAGATTAATAAATTCCTAAATTTTATTATACTTAATGGTCACCAAATATAGTAATAATCAACATGTCTTGTAAGCCTCCAGCCAAACAATTGAAGGTTTTTATTTTAAATTATGGTATTCTTTAATGCTAGTGTTAACACAAATTACTCAGTAACAACGTTCATGACAATCTCACAATTCCCAAGATTAATGAACTTTGCTCGATTTACCTCACAGCATGAATCACTTTCCTCATGTAAGACAGATCTTGGATGGTATCTCCTTACAGTTTCATGTTCCTCTAGCAATCAAGTGACCTACGAAAATGTCCTTAAACTTGCAATAGATGAGCTTTCAACAAAATTGAGTATTAGATCCAGTCATGGAGAATAGATTTCATTAGTAGCTAAAATCTTGCCGAGGATCAAGAATGCATGCTAGCATTTCCAAAATCCACATTTGTAGAAGTGGTGGTGGGCAGAAAGGAAATACGTGTAACTTTTTACAAGTAAAAATTAGCTTTTATTTATTTATTTTTCAATTTAACTTATGTTTTTATTTTATTTTATTTTTCTAAGAGTTCTTTTGTAAAATCTTACCCAAACTGAATCCTTGTGTGAAATTTAAGCAGGTTATTTGTTGAACTCAAATTGAACCCAAAAGTTCTTTGTACGCAATCATCTACTATTGAAAAGCAACCAGTTTGGGTTTTATTCCATTGAAGAAGGTGCATTCTAATATGTTCTCCCAACTCTTTCATCTTTGCCATATATAGAGGAAAATAAATTTGTTATCACAATTTAGGATGGAGAGCAACATGTAGTTACTGCTACTCACCCTATTTTAACTACACTATCGACCAATAAAAACATGATTATTGATTTGGAAAAAGCTCTCTAGGATCTTGAGATCCACTCTACTATGTCTAAAGTTAATGAAAGAATAGAAAACAGCGTCAAAGAATCAGGGAGGTAGCTTAAATTTGCTTAAGACAAAGTGGGAGGCAAATTATTCCATGACATAGGACTCTGGCCCCACTGTGTCAGTTGAACAGTTAAAAGCTATTGATAAAATCCAAATAACACTACATTTGTAAAGTTTGTCCATGAATGATCTCACTGGAGTAGTGTAATTTTGTCTATATGCAAATTCCCCTTATCCTTTAAGGAGAATTAGATTTCATTTGGTATTGTGACTTGTGAAATTCACTCCAAAAATGGCAATTACATCTTGCCTTGTCATAAGTCGAAAGACTTTGAAAATTATTGATTATTTGGAGGTGTAAACAAGCCAGCTGAGATGTAATTAAACTTTTGGCTTGACTCGTTTATTCATAGTTATGTTTCATTGTCAGGTCAAGCAGTGACATTTCTCTGAAGATTTGCTACATTAAATTGATTTGAATAGCTAAAGCCTATTTAGGATCTTTTGGCACCCCTTCTACTTTGAAAAAACAGGAGAGGAGTGTTGTGGTCACAGATCCTAAATTTGCAGTAAGCTTGGTGTTTTCATGTCACCAACCACAAAAGAGTCACTGAACAAACAGTTCAATAAAAGGAATTAAAGTCAACTGGTATCTCGCTTGGTCTTTACCCAGGACTATGGTTATGTGGTGGCGATTTGACACCCCACATCTCCATTTCCCTACTCCTTACGTTCAATAGAACCGCCTTAGAACCAAAAAAGAAGGAATCAAATGTGAAGTACTATAAAATAGAAAGAAAAGATAAAGCTCTTAAAAAAAGTACAACTAAAGATGGGGCATTAAGCCAAGATTTATAAATAACGTGATCATATATTATGTTTTGTAGACAAATACCAAACCCAAGCAATAATAAAATTTCTAACCCCTAGAACATCAGGAGATTCAAGGAACATTGTACAACAAATACTTCAAGTAAGAGCCTGGTCAAGAAATAAAACAATACACCCAGTGCTATTGACACAGGAAGAGCAGGCAAAGCTTTCTGATAAAAAGCCAAAAGCATCAAAGTTACGCCCAGACCGGCAATGATAGCCAGATAACATGCATACACCGTCATAAAATCATACATCGCTGCCCTGCCAACCAAAACACTATAGAAGATAAAATCTCCCAGCCCTAACTTGATTGCACCAGTTGAACCCAATCCAATTCCTTCAAGCATCAAACTTTCATTTGACGTACTATCCTCTGCCCTTCCCAGCTGGACATTCATTCCATGATCAATCAAGGGTCTATAAAGCTCCGAATAAGGTTCTTCTGGAACCCGTAGCAGTACGTCTTCTGCCATTACCAAGTTTCTCAACCTACGAGTATCACAAGCAGCATCAGGATTCACAATTAAATATGGATACAAACGGGGATCAGGTTGGATAACTGTAGGCTGAACCCTCCTTTCTGCTGGGTCTCTCCACACCCTCCTCTGAGCCGCAGTATCCCTATCCCTTGGTTCCAAATTGTCATGATTCACCGGCCTAGCCTCATAAACCAAAGCAGGAATTTCTTCATCCCTTGAAATTGCAAGCTCTACCAAAAGCCTTAGAGGCCCAACAGGCAACAAAACAGCAGCAAGGTCATACAATGCCATAGAAATAAGCATGGCCCACGTGGTCCACTCAGGTAACATAGTAAAACAATACGCAACCAACATTCCAATAATAACCAAATACCCTTGCGTAACAAAAATCGCCATTTTTGACATAAACACGGCCAAAATTCCCACAACAGCAAAATTAAACAACACAAGGGAAAACGTTATGCAATCAACGGGAGTACTATAATGTTCTATCAAGGACAAGGATACTTCACCGCCGAGGAATCCCAACACAACGAAAGCAGATAAACCCATGTAGAATCTCAAAAACCTGGTGCATCCGAAGTAGAAGAAGACGACCAAGATGAAGGTTGCGAAGGTGACAAACACTACGAAGGCCAAGGAGTTCAAAAGGGAACCTACGAATTTGTCCCAGGTTGAGTCCGAGGTTGTCTCGGTGTATGCTATGGTGGCTATGCTGCTCACTGTTGCTTCGAAGGAAGAGTTGTTGTTTAGGATTGTTACCAAGATTACCACCAAGAACATGCATATCGAAACGGGTGCGATGATTCTGACGATTTCTTCCCCCAAAGAATCGAGAATGCTTGAACGGGGTCTTCGAGTTCGTGATTCTGCCATTGCCGAATCCAAATTGAGAAACAGAACAAGCCACACTCAGAGATCGAAATTGGCGTGAATTATGGGTGTTTCTCCTCTCATGGGCCGGGCCTAAGCATAAAAAATGGGTTTGAGCCCAAATCGGAAGAGAAAAAAAAAGAAAGAGAGAGAAAATTATACTTTGTTAAGCTGTCCACGTAGGCCTGTTAATTTACACCTACATAAACCCATTCCTCTCCCGAAAAAATATAGATATCTTCCTTAGGGTTTTAGGACTCGACGCTGGCTCAGAAGTGAACTCAGGTAATATTCGCCATTGTGAGATCTTCTACTTCATTTTTTTCCACGCTTCTCTTCGATTTTGTTTGATTTCACTGTTTCTTCTTCTTTTATTCCTTCCGATTCGATTTGTTTGTTTCATTTTTTGTGTGGAACAATATATTGCTTCCTGGCATGGTATGATATGTGATTTCCTTTTCTTTTCCGCTTTCGATCGACGATCTTGCCTTCTTCGGGGATCGTCAGATCTTCCTTGAAATCGAGAGTTGAGATTTGAGTTTGTTTTGAAATTAGTTTATTTTACCGCTCGGTGAAGTTTGTGATTTAGCTGCCTTTAGAATTAATGTTCTTGTTTGGAACTAAAATAAGTAAATGATTGTAAGCTTCACTCTTTTCCTTTAGGTTTGTGTATACGATCGGGTTCTTTCTTCTTCTTCTTTTTTTTTTTTTTTGCTGTTTGGAGTATTAATTAGTTTTTGAAAATGTTTTTTGAGTAATGTGCTGTCCGGAGTCATTAACGTTTATTGCCTCCATCAGGTTACAGCAATGGCTTTCTTTGGTAGAATTGGGAATCTATTAAGACATGCAGCGAACAGGCAGATTAATTCACAGATTAGTTCAGAATTGCGTGCAACGCCTTCTGTTTTTCTGGCCATACGCAGCATGTCTTCTGCTCCAAGCTCAAAGCTGTTTATAGGAGGTGCGTTTGAACTACCCCATTAGTTGGATGCATTTTATGTTTATTTTACTTGGTTGATAATAATGAGTTATGTGTGTCTAACACTTATTTGTTACAGGTGTTTCATTTTCTACTGATGAGCAAAGCTTGAGGGAAGCTTTTTCAAAATATGGTGAAGTTGTTGATGGTAAATAGCTGGGTTCTCATCTTCCTTTTGTCACCTGTAACAGTTTTCTTTGCTGTTGAGGAGAGCTGATGGAATTCTGTTGACATCTTTTATGTTAATTTAATGTTCAACTCAACTATTTTTCTCTTTAATGTCATGCTTGTTGTAGCTAGGATAATTATGGATCGTGAAACTGGTAGATCCAGAGGATTTGGCTTTATTACATACAGTTCAGTTGAGGAGGCATCAAGTGCCATTCAGGCCTTAGACGGTCAGGTAATCTTCTTAGTATTATAATCATGTGAATAGCATTGGTTGTAATGGCTGCTGCAAAATGATCATGTGCTGGAGCTATATATGTAACCCACCCAATTTGTGGGAATGCATAGTCTGTCCAATGCTAATAAGTCATCCTTTGTAATTAGCAAGCTTTTAAGCAGCAATTGTGGCGGCAGTGATTTGGTGTAATGTGACAATAGACTACCTAACCCAATTTAGGATTTGGTTTTTGATGAGTTGGGCAAAAAACCTGCTTTTTATGAGACCCATAAATAAAAGTCCAAGCTCAGATGGGTTGGGCTCAAAACTTAAGAATTAATTTTGGAATCTAAAATTTAGAGCTCATGCCCTATGATTTAGTGGGCTTAATTGGTTTGACCTAGTCAGGCCATCCTATTCATGGTTACATCAGGTGATGGGGACCTCTGTTTAACTTCTTTGTTTTCAAAATTGATGTTGCTTATTAGTTAACAAACTGAAGATGGATATCCTTATTTTAGCAGCAGATATATTTATATACATTTTGGATGATATCTGTCAGGATTTTGATTGGCTGTCACTATTGTCTTGAATCATTTCATTTTGCCCACTTCAGCTCCCCTTTCTTACTACCTTCGCTGTTAGGTATGGGTTCTGACAAAAGTAATGTTAATATTATCACCCTTTATTATTTTCAAGTTACTCACAAACATTTTACTTAATCATTAGATAATCCATAGTGAGAAATGAGAATCATTATCCTGGGTGTTATTGCTTATTAGTTTTCCTTCACTTGATGGGCACAGGGAAGTAAAAGATTTTTGGGGTATCCCATTAAGTGCCAGACACTTAGGACATGTCTATTTAGTTGTATTTTGTTGTGGTAAATTTCCAGTAACTTATCTGTGATGTAAGTAAATGTAGTCCTTTCCTGTAGTTATAAATTTTCTGGTCCTTCAGTAACCTTTTTGTATATTTAACTTTTGTAAATTTTATGATTGGCTGTAATATATTACTTATTAACTGGTGCTTTATTATTTCATTGTGTATCATTCTCAGGACCTTCATGGGCGCCGAGTTAGGGTAAATTACGCAAATGAGAGAACTCGTGGATTTGGTGGTGGAGGCGGTTTTGGTGGTTCTTATGGTAACTCACCATATGGTGCTGGAGCTGGCACTGGCTATGCTGGTTCTTATGGTGGCTCTCCGTATGGTGGTGGTGGCTATGGTGGAAATGCTGCTGGGAGTTATGGTGGTGGTGGCTATGGCGGAAATGTTGCTGGAGGTTATGGTGGTGGTGGATATGCTTCAGGTGGCAGTTATGGGGACAGCGGGAGTGGAATGAATTATGGGAATGATGGTAACCTTACAAGTGGAAACACTTACACTGGTGGAAGTAGTGGAGGATATGGTGGTAACAGTGGAAATTTTGGGGATGCTGGAGGTGTAGGCAATCTTGAAAGCTCTGGTGGTTTTGCTGACAGTGATAATTATGCTGCGTCTGGTGGTGGTAGCCATGGTTTTACAAGTAGTGGATATGATGGAAGTGCCGTGGATGGCAGTACTGGCACAAGCTTTACTGGTGGATATGATGGAAGTGGAGGGTTGGATAGCAAAGAAAGTAGCAATAGAGATGGGGATTTGGGGGACTCATTGGAAGGAAATTACAAGGATGACGATGATGATACTGATAATTTTGCCAAAAGGGCTTGATGGAAGCTTGTAGTTCTGAGTTTTCTTCCTGCACTTGTGTTCTGTACCCTACCTCTTCCTAAATCTCTATGGACTTGAATTTGATGAAACATTTCAAGCATGTTTATCTTGATCATCATGCATGGCTGGGAAGAAAGTAATATAGGTCCATTTAAAGCGTCATTCTTCCCTTCTATCCAATATCCATAACATAAAGAGTCGGGCATCTCATTTTTGTTGCTTACTTTAAGGGTATTTAGCATGACCGAATCGAGTTCTTTATACATGTATGTAAATCAGTGAATTGTTGCTATTTGCAGCAATAATCGTAGACTGATGTGGGAATTTTATGAATAGTTATTCATTTTAAGCAATTTAGCTCGGGACTGATATTTCTTTAGAGCTGTCATTTGAATAATTCCTACCCTTCCCCGCCTGATTTTTTTGGGGGCTGATGTTAATTTTGCTAATACGCCGTAGGTTTTATTTGTTTCTCCTTGTACTTGAGTCGATTCGGTTTTTCTTTAATTACATTGATGTCTCCCTCGTAAGAATTGAATCCGAGGTAAGTGATTGAAGGTTCCATTGCCTTTCCTTGATTGTTAAATGCTGGAGGCTGCTTTCGATGGCTATCAACAGAGACGGAACTCATAGCTGGTCAAACTCTTAACCCTCTGGTTCCATTAGGAAGCTAAAATATGTTGTACGTAAACTCTTATGTTCTATCCTTCAAAGGGTGGAGGAATTGTTATAGAAGGAAAAACATTAGATATTTAGTTATAGCTTAAAACCGTAAACACCTAAATAAAGTTGACGAGTTGTCACACTTGCACCGGTAATCTGAGACAATGTTGGATTTTTCCTTGAACCAACCGTAGTGCTAAAGTTTTAGATATTAGATGGGGGCACAAGCAACTAAACCTGCGAGCTAATGGTTTGAATATATTTTGGTCCGAATAATTTATTTTTATTTTGGTTTTAATTTCAACAGTTAAAGATTTGATTTTTTATCTTTATAATTTTGTAAATTTAGGTTTAGTTCTATATAATTTTATTTTATTTTGATTTTATTCTTTGTAATTTTATTTGAAGCTGAGAGATGTGTGGCACGTGCATTGTGGCTATTCTCAAAGGTTTCAAAGTTTTTTAAATACTATTATATTTTCAATAATAAAAGGATTGCGGCATCTTAAGGCAAAAGCTTAAAGATTTTTAAAAGAGTAGGAGAATGTTATTTGTAATGTTGAAAATTTCATTTTTCTTCAACAGGGGTGGAGAAAACTACGATAATAAAGTCTTATATATGTATTTATTAGATTGATTTTTATCTATCTCGGGAAAGAAGACGTGATTTTGTGATTGGTATATATTAAAACATGTAAAGTGTACTTAAATAGTATAACTTATATTGAATTCATGATGAGTGGAACCATTACAACTCCTCTGTGAATGCTATAACACCAACCATTGTAACTTCTCATAAGAGGGTTAAGTCTGCTCCTCACTTTCTCTATAAATATGTGTATTAGAACGCACGGTCATAATCCTTTTAGACGATTGTATAATTTTCAATTTCCCCAAAAAATAAAATGGCCAGCTGTCCGTCTGATTTTAGGTATTAATGTTCGACCGGGTCCCGCATTTTGAGACGATGAACTCCAAAACATGCAAAGAGCACTATGCTAAAAAATCATCGAACAAAATATGCAAAGGTCAAAAATACTAACCTCTTCTATTTCTTCACACCCAAAAAAACATTCGGTATCAATGTTCATCTTCATCCATAGAATACAATATTCTTCTAGCATTTTGGAAGACAGGAGAACCTTTTTTGGTACTTTCAACAATTTGCCTTATTAATTGCCTATCCACCTCATAATCACACACACAATTTTCATCTTCAGTAACATCATTTAATTCATAAATGCTAGAACTTTGCCCTTCCAACATTGTGACCTCATCAGAAGAGAGTTCCCTTGACAATCGCTCTTCATTAACAGTGGAATGAGTTTGGAAATCGTTTGCTCCACAGAGTTGAACCCCTAATACATGCAAATCATGCGAACATGAATCTACTTTGTAGTCAGTATTATGGATGCTTAATGGTGAATTTTCTTCGTAGTCATCTATCTTTATTAATTCTTCGTAGGTGTCATTGTAAGCACCTCCTGAAGCTTCACCTGATAAATTCATAACTAAGGATTCAGTTGTACGGTCACTGCCATCAAAAGTCAATAGTGTTCCTTTAGTAAAGGAGGATGCTTTTCCACAACTTGAGAAATTCTTTTGGGAATGACTCTCATGCTCTGATTCCAGTAACCGTAATTTCCTCTGGCTATTTTCAAGGGCAATCTCAAGCTCCTGTACACGTTCCTCTAGTCTGGATTGGATAAATTCATGCAAGCGTAGACTTAGTTCACGGGGGGAAACAGCATAGTTTACAGGGATCATTGCGTCACTGGCATCCTCATTTAGCTTCGAATGGCCAAAATCTTTCCCATCAATCATGTCAGTTCTCAACTCACCTTGAGCAAAATCTGCTACAAAGTCTGGGTCAAGCTGCAAGGTTTTTCGCAACATTAGCACACCATAACTTGAACACAAAAAGCAAGGAATGGAGGAAAAACAAAAGAGGAAAACATTCAGAGACATGGTGAAGAAAGTTGGGGAGGGAAGTGAACTACACCCACAAACTAGAGCTAATGTGATGACTTAAGAATTCAAAGAGGTTATCCAATTAAGCAAGAAATTGTTTTCTATAATAAGATTAATTCAGCACTCACTTTGTCCCAATTTCAATTTTCTTTTAAGCATTGGTGCTAATTAGAGTAGTTTTTGGACTTTAATGTATAAAAGACATAACACCAAACATTATTGTAAAGGTAAGAAATAGTAACACGATCAAACTTTCCCAAAGATCACTCTTTCTACTGCTAATTCAAGTGGTTATAAAATGAAGTCAAAATGATTTGCAAAAACAATGGACATGGAAAAGTTGCAACACTTTCAAAATAAGATGTATAAGTTGGTCAGGACTTTTAATATAGCATAAAATGGGACAAAGTCATAAAACAATTTCCATAGCATTGCCATTTGTTTTACACTAACACAAGTTTTTAGTGTTACAATTCCAATTTTAACTACAATAAACCATTCATAAAGAGAAATCCATGCTGCAACATAAAACTACTGAAGTTGATCTTCAAGTAACAAATACATTTAGCTGACCTCACTTCTAAGTATTCAGACCCTTAACACAGATGACTTGTCACTTCAGCTGTATTTAAATTTGTTTTGCACACTAATATATATATATATATTGTAACAGATGTCTGAATAATTTGCTCCATAGAATATACATTGAAGTTAATCAAGTCATGATAAACACTCAGCTTGAAACACATGTCTGAAGATTGTGTTATTATTCTTACTTAAACAGTCGAGCTATGACTAAAAAAAGATCGAGGCAAAAGCATACACATATCTCCCAGCAGTTCTTGCATAATAGTATTAAATTACTATTTTTAATTTTTTTGAGTTTTGTTTATTTATTGATAAGCACATGGTATAGAAGGTGATCAGAACCATAAGATCCGTCAAGTGAAAAAGTGACACTATATTTGACAATATGCGTCCAATAAAGTATCGACATCTTGCGGCTCAATATGCATCCAAGACATTGTCACATGAGCAAAACTACTCTAATTTGAAAAGATAATAAAAGCAATATGCCATACTAAGGTAATTAAACCAAACATATAAGAAAAGATTTTAAAAAAGTGACATAAAACAAATCAAATACAGGGAGAGACATTATGAGGCATCTGTCTTTCATGAAACAGGTCAAGGTTATACTTTGTAGAGGTGAAAAGAGGGAGGAACTGAGTGACATAACATCTCTTAAAACATGTAAATCTGAAAGAGCTATTTTCATTCCATTCTTTGTCACTTCCAACTCTATCAGGCATGGGACTAAATTAGGATCTTCATAAATGAAAAGCTAAACAATAAAGAAAATTTCAACACACGTATTCCAAGACAATGTGATACAATGTCTACAGGTCAAGTTGTTACTAGGAAATGAAAAATATAAACATTTATGCTTACCTCAACTAGCTCAGACAACGGTCTTTCTGGGCTAGATTCATTCATGTTTAACCCCAATCTCTCAAGTTCAGCTTCAAGCTCCGCTTCAATTTTGCTCATGGGTTCTGAACTTTCTTCTCCCTTTTGATCACATGATTTTTTACAGTCAGTCATTGGAGAGCTATCCATGTGTTTTTCAGGGGAAAATCCATTTAGCTCCCTATCACAGAAGGAATGATCACAAGTATCCTGTGAACCATAATTTTCACTATGTAACTCCTTCACTGTCATTGAATCTTTCATTTCAAGTTCCTCTTGTAGATCTTGAGCCAAGTTTTTAGTCTGCTTCAACAACTCTCTTAACTTGTCCATTTCTCTTTTATTTGCCAAGATGGAAGTTATTATCCCAAAAGATATCCCAAGACCGAAGACAAATGTTGCATCTGATGATTATATACATGACAACAAAAGTAATTATCAAAGCAAAACAAACCATACAACATATCAACTCATGAAATAAGTACAAACCTACTTCATCAAAAGGTCAGCATAATAGTAACTGAAACAGATGATTTATTGTGTCTTATAAGGCTAGCTGTGATCAACAATTGAACAAGTTAAGTATGTATTTAAAAAAAAAAAACTTTTCTAATTAGAGCTGGGAAAGCCATTTTAGGTCCTGAGGCAAGCCCCCACTGGCAGGGACCAAAACAAGATCCACGTACAATGAGATCAAGCCATTGTGCAAGATGTTGATTTTCAGGAAAATTTGATATGTTAATACAGAATCCAAGATTCTATAACATCCTTTCAATATTTAGGGGGTTCAGGCCAGTTCATGTAAATATATGAGTCTCATTCTCTGATACTAGCGAATGGTAAATATACACCTGATCGTGTAAATTAAAGATTCCTTTACAAGATAATGTAACCTGCCACAGAATGCAGAAGAATCTAAAATAATTGATATAACAATCAGCAGACTGATAAGTTTCCTCAAGAGTAAACAAGTGAATTAAAGTCAAGACAAAACAAAAAGAATTCTAAGTGTAGCTATTAAAGAATGAAGACAACAAATATTTGCAATGCAGCAAAGGCTATATAAGGTACTTGTAAGTCAAATAGTCAATTAGTGAAGAACCACACCATGTTGAGTATGGATGTGCTTTCCACTGAACACATTGTTAGAAGGGCTCAATCTCCTATTTTGCCCACTGCCTGCGTTAAATTTCATCTTCTTGGCATCATTAAAAGATCCAATTTTCGGTAAGGAAGGAACCCGAAATAATACACTTTCAGCTTTCACTTTACTGGCTGCTCTATGCAACTTAGATTCTTCACTTCCAGTCAATCCACTGAGAGAATCATAATTGGTTGCTCCGCTGATCATCTGGCTTTCATCACTAACACAAAATGACCTAGTGGCCATGGATGATGATGAGATAGATTCTTCCATTTTGGCATGTTCTTTGCATAGCTGAGCCATTAGGCAACTTTCTAAGGAGTTTGAAGGCCCATTTATATGCCCATACAATCGCTTAGTCCTGCGAGAGGTTTTATTTCCAGAAGGATTATGACCCAATTTTCCTGAAGACAAATCAGGAAGTAGGAAACCACAATTGCCACCAATATTGTTGCATTGCTCATTTCCATATCCAACATCATTAAAGTTTGATACAGAAAGGACATCACTCTCATTGCAATTCCTGAAGAGACTTACTTTTTCACAGTCAAATTCAAGCCCTTTGCGAGAAGCCAACTCTATTGTCAAAAGGCCATCCTGTGAATTCACATCTGGAGCCCTTTTAGCTAAAGTAACATCATTGCCCAACTTGTCTCTCCCTGCTTGTGAGCAAAAGGAATGGGATGAGGACTCGTGATTCTCAAAATTGGAACCCTCTGATGACAAAAGAGATGAACCATCGCCGTTCTTTGAAAACCTGTTCAAATATTTAGCTAAGCACCCAGCTCCAGCAACAGCTGCAACAACCCACAAATCCATTTTGGCTCTTCCTTGCTTTATTAACACACACAAAAAGCCACTACCCAAACTCCACAAAAAAAACAATCCTCTTTACATCTATTATCAGCAACAACAAGAAGGAAAGGAAGAAACTTTCCATCAATTTAGAGAAATTAGTGGCAACCACTAACATGAAAACAAAATCGCAAACCCTGATTCACTAACTAAACACAAAACACGCATTCTTCTACCAACTCAGCAATAATAACTATTATTATCATCAATGAGAAACCTAACATTCACTATTCCCAAGTGAAGAAATAATAACATTAAGAATAAGAAAAAAAGAAAATGGGAATAATGACAAGATATTGTGAACTCAGAAAGCATCGAATGGCAGAGATAAAGAAAAGCGGCAACAAAAGGGATAGTTAAAAGGAAAGAATGCAAACGAACGATTACATTAAGAAAGTAGAATTGTTAGTGCAAAAGCAAAAAATGAAGAGAGGCTCGTTATGTGTTGGTTGTTCAAAGTTGAAACCAAAATCTATGGGTATGACACTGATACACGACCAAATTTACCAAATCAATACCAACAACTTGGCATCGCACCTTTGTTCCTATCACGCGCGCTACTTGCCATTAAGTGTGTTTAGTGAACATTTACATCTTTAAGATCATAAATTTTACTCAAAAATAACTTTAAAGGAAATAAATTTATGTCTGAATATCTTTAAAATAGATTTACAGTAAATTTTAATATTTTATTATTCAATATAAATTTTATAATTTATTATATTAATGAAATATAAATTTCAAAGTGAAATCAATTTAACTGGAAAATAGCTAAATGCTAAATTTTTTTAACAAGGTTACATTATAATAAAATGAACACAATTTTGTGATACATTAAGGTGACAGAAAGGAAACCTCATTCCTTCACACTCATTTCCTTGGTTCTAAAAACTGCATCTACTTCTAAATATAAGATAAAAGATTGTTAAAGCTTTATATATATATAACTGTAGTTATAAGATATTTTTTATATTCGTTATTATTTTTTATCAGAGTATGTGTAATAGAGACAAAATAAATAATTAAATAAGAAAACATTAAGATTAGTTTCAATAATTTTAAAAGAAATCTTATAAAATATCTAAATTCATGATAAATTTAATTTTATTAATAAAAAATTATTTTGTTTTTTATTATTAAATAAGAACGTAAAAAATTTAGGAACAAAGGCAACAGTTATAAAATACTAGTTAGGAATTAAAAGTAGTTTTGTTTACTTATTAATTATAGATCCCAAAAAAAGTACATTGATAATTTTTCTTTTATCGTGTAATTTATTGTGTCCATTTTCCTTACAGTGAAACACCTGTCAAATCATAATACAATAGTAACTTTTATTATAAAATCATAATATGTCACAAATTTTAATGCATTTATAATATTAAATGATATATTTTTTTATAAATGTCTCACTTGCACATTTTATTTTTGGCATTATAATTTTTTAAAATATTTTTTTATCTTTAAACGATAAAATTTTAGAATATATTAATGACTTTCAAAATTTAGATTCGAAGAGTCATTTTTAAATTTTATTTTTTAGAATGGTAGTCAAAAATAAAGAGAAAAAGAAAAACTCACAGAGTGTATTTAGAGTAGCCTAACATCAAAAGGCACTATTTTTAAGAAAGATAATCAAAGTATTTTTATTTTTTTTCAATAATCAAAATAAGTTCAAAACAACACTATTTTTATTTCCACGGTTCAATTCTGCTAACCCCTTCAATGCTTTTTTTTTTGGGGTCAAAGTATTAAACCTATACAAGAAAGATAATCAAAGGCCCAATAACTCTTTCAAATTTCATTTTCAAATAGCATTGTTTTTTGCTTTTAAGCCCTCTCCGGCAGGCCTTGTGCAATGTTTTTCTTTAATCATAAAAAAAAAACCATGACAAGAACAAGGTTAATGGGTTATCGATTCCTAGAGCTGTTAAAAATTTGGCTCAATCCTAACCTTAGCTCTAACCATATGGCTTAGAATCAAAAAATCTATCAATTCATAAGTTTATAACCTTAGCTCTAGACATATGGCTTAGGATCAAAAAGTCTATCAATTCATAAGTTTATAGGGCTAAAAGCTAACAAGGCTGGGTTGAGATTAAAGTTTTATGGGAAAAAAAATCTATATTTTTAAAAAAAATTAGATTTAGAAAAATTTGATATAAATTATAATAATTATTAGAATATCTAATAAAAATATTTATTTTATATAACTTTTTATTATAAACTTATAATCTAATAAAATTACTTAAAAAAAGAAAAATAAAATTTATATAATAATAAATATTTATAATGATTGTTGTTATTAAATAAAATTAATAAAAGTATGATTATTATATAATTTTAATATTTTTTATCTGTATTATTGACAATTATTAAATAATTGTAATACTCTTTTATATAATTTTATAAATAAATTTTAAAATATTATTTGAGTATTAATTATAAATTTTTTTATATTATTAAAGTTTTATATTATTATTTTTCTTGATTTTTTTATAAAACTATTAAAAATATTATATATATATATATATATATATATATATATATATATTAAGGATCATGTTATATTTGTGTAAGAACATTTTATATTCAAAAAATAAAGTTACAATAAATATATAAATTTGACAATAAAAAATAACACGGACAAAATTTGTTAAATCTACTGAATAAAAGTTAATATGTTTTAAAAAAAGTAAATAAATATTTTTGTTGTAAAAATTATAAATATAAAATATTTTATATTATAAAATTTATAGATGAAAAAAGTAATTTGTGTTTTTAAATTTCTATCTTAATAGAAAATTTGTGATAAAACTTAATACAAAATTTTAAACTAAATGCAATATATATATATAAATATAATATTTAACTTATTATTTTATTATTTTAAATTTTTAAATATACATAAAATTAACTGCACTATAGCATTAATTTAATATAAAAAAATAGTATGTATACAATAAATTAAAATACACATTTACATATTACATATAAATTAATAAATTAACTAATAATTTATTTTTTATTTAGACGTTGATTTATATAAATATTTACTATTGAATAAATTTTAAGTTATATTAACAAGTATATTTTAATAATAAAAAAATATATCTATACCTATATATATATATATATATATATATATATATATCTATATAAAATATATTAAATTTAATCATTTAAGATTTTATATATTTATATTTATATTCAAAATAACCATACCATGTATAAATTTAAGCTATAATGAATATATAATTATTAAAAATTATATAAACATAATAAAATTTATTAAATTTATTAAAATAATTATTAAATAATATTTTATTAAATATTCTTTTATTATTTAATTATTACTTAGTTAAAAATATTTAATAATAATTCTTAATTAAAATCATAAATTATTAACGTACTATATTAAATTTAATTAATAAAATTAACAAAATGCAACAGCTAAATTTAATTTAATTTTATAATATAATTATATTTGATATTATTGTTATGATAAAATTTTAATATATTAAATAATTTTTTTTATATTTTAAATATAATTTTGAATTTATTTAAATAAATATTATAAAAAATAATATAAATAACTCTAACCTTAATCTACTATTTTTTTTTATTTTAAGACATAGGATCAATATAAACCCACTAATTATAAGACCTTAAAAAAAAAAGATTATATAAAAAATAACAGTAAAACTCAAAGGTTTAACTTATTTTGATATATCGATCTCAATCCTTTGAAATATTTATAATATATGTATCTTAGTTTAAGTAAAAATATATTATATTACCCAAAAATAAATATTTTTTATTATACTAGTGATATATATATATATATATATATATATATAAATAAATAAAAAGTAGAAGATAAAACATAAACTAGTAATATTATGATAATATTAAGCTAATACAAATTGAACTAATATAAATGAAAAAAATTAAACAATTAATACAACAATGAGTTATCTTTATTTTTTATAAATAGAAAAAAATTTGACAAATTTTAAAAAAATACCAGAAAAGTGTTTTGTAGTTTTAATGCACTCTAAACTAATATACAATAGACACGTACATTTTTTTTTACTTTAAAATATTGTGTCGATTTTACTTTCACTTTCACCCATCACGCTTGTCTGCTTTATATATATATAATAACATTCCCTATTTTACATGTAATTTCGTTTACAATGCCTCCTTGGCTCTTTGCGAAAAATATTAGGGATTATTAATTAGTGTATGTAAAGTATTTATTAAAATGTTAATAAACTATTACATTCTATTAAAAATATATTGAAATGTATTGAAAATTATAAATAAATATTTTCTACACTGTTTAATAAAAAATATTTAAATATTTTAATCAATGGATTAAGAGTATTGATTAGTACTTTTTAAAATATTATCCATCTCTCTCTTTGAAAAGGTGTGTTGAGGCACATGTGGTGTTGAGAGTTAGGAAACATACTTAAAAATTAAGTTACTCCAGTCTCAATTTTGATTTTGCAAGTACCACTTACACAAGAAAAAGCATTTTACAAATTGTCCAAACAAATACTATTCCCACACTGGAAAAATGTAAGAGTAAACTCGAAGAAGAATCAATTCCTTAATTAATCAGAAGATATACAAAAATTTCCAAGACTATTTTTATGATATAACATTTTATTTCAATTTGCAAATCTTTATTTTATAATTTATTAAAATTCTATGATAAAAATATTTGACAATCATGAACAAATTATAGCATTTTTATTAATAATTCAGCTTAGCGTGATGCATCACACCGTTAATGTTTTTGCAACAAGTGTATCAATAAAATAATAATATGACCCTAATAGGGATATGAAAAAAAAGGGGGTTAATACAAATTTTACGGGAGAGTTACATTTATTTATAATTTTGGTTGGTAATAAATAGTTTCAAGTTACTAATAAATAAAGGATATATTAATGTTCCAGCGAAAAAAAAAAAGGATAGATAAATGAAAAAGGCATTAGTCTAAATTAACAAAGTGTTTTAAATAAATAAATTATTAAATCTTTTTGTACACTATTTGATCTAACACACACTCAAACTGTTATGTTATTATGATATTAGAGTTTGATAAAAAAAATTAAAATCAAGAACTTAAAAAAGAGCATAACTCCAAGTAATAGAGAACGAAAATAAGATCTGTTGCAGAAATTTAAAAAAGTATAAATTCAGATTAAAAATATAAGTTGCATCTAAAACAATAGTCAAATTTAAAGAAAAGTATTAGATAATAAACAATTTTATATTGATAGATAATAACAGACTAAAAAATATAAACAAGTAAATTATTAGCTTGGATGTGACTAATAACCTAATAAGTTTTGAGAATATAATATAAATATATTAAAAGGACTGAACCCACCAATGATGATTATAAATTATATAAAAGTAATGCATGAAAATCATCTGCATTAATGGATGGGATACGTATAATTATTGTTCATTTTCGAAGCCGTGAGAAACAGAGTAAAACTATGATGTGACTGTTCTTTCTTACACAAAATACGAACATTTACGTCCATTGGTCATTCCAACTTGCAGAGACCATCAAAAGTAACGTGGAACAAATCTTGTTGTGCTCCTTATAGAAAATGAATAATAAATTTGTATAGAAATACTTTCGTTAGAGTATTGATTTTTTAATACTTATTTCTCTATATTTACTTTATGTTTATGGGTATCTTTTTTTTATATTTTTTTTTATCATACATCTCATTATAGTTTTATAATTTTAAAAAAATCTTGTAAATTTTACTTAAGATCATACAAATAATTTGTATTTCAATAAGTTTCATGAGAAGGGTAATAAAATATTTTTTAGTTTATCAAAATTAAAGTTCATTTAGTTTATTTTATTTTAAAGAAACAATTGTTTGCTTTTATCAATTTTAAAAATGTATATTTTATCAAAATTCAAATACTAACACCATACACTAAATTTTTTGATCAGATTTATAAATAAATCTTCTCTATTGATAACTTATTATTTAAATTTACATTTTATTATTTATTTAAATCCACATCGGTAGTAAAGGAGATGTGAATCTCTAAAAAGGGTATTAAGTATAATTATTCATTTGATAATTAATTATCAATTTTGATTTTTTCATATTTTTTTGTTCTTACATCCTCTGTGTTGTTACTCTCTTTTTTGTATTCTATTATTTATCATATATCATTATTTTCCTCTTTTCCATCTCGCATCCACATTCATCTAGAGAGAGTAAGATAATATTTTTTTATTAATCATTCTTCTATTCTCTTGCTTACGTTTTAATACAATGAGCTGTTTTTGATATAGCAACTAGAAAAATGAACTGGAAACACTCTTATAATGCTCTCTTTTTCCCTCAGGACCTTCAACCAACACAAATAAACTGAAGCACATATGCATCACAGCCTTTTCATTGCCGTGGATTTGTTTACTACCTTCACCTGCCCTTACTTAATTTCCATCCTCTCACAATCTGGTTAATATTCACCAAAATTTCCATTTATTAGCTTCAATTCTATATCTTAGTCCACACACTCCCACCAAACCAAACACATGATCAATTATTCTTTTGATTAAACCATCAAACTTGTCTTTTCTCATTTCCCTTACTCAACCACTCAATTCCAAAGAAAATTCTACACTTCCACATAAAAAGAGAGAAGATAAAAATGGGCACTTTCTTGTACCTCTTGTAAAAACAATATAAACAAATCCACCAAGCAACTCAAGCCAACTGCTTCTCCTTCTTGGGTCAAAGTTGAACGCAATTATTATTGAAGCGACTCTGTGCTCCTTAAAAAAACCATTCACCTTCTTTCCCTGAATAAAATCTTGTTCCACATTTTCTTTAGATCATGATGGAAACAAAATCTTCACGTTCCATGAAAACAACTTGATCAAACCTTCACTCTTCACAACCCATCAATGGATGGGCTTTTGAAGTCCCAAAAAGCTATCCATGATCGTTCCCTCATTGCTCTCTTCAAGTCATCACCATCTTTTTCTTCCCCCTCTCCGGTTCAGACCGGGTCCAAGGTTAGGCTCAAAGGAGAACAATCTCAAATAACAGAAAATGAAGCAATTCAAGGCGTTGGACTCATGAATGGCATTGTTGGTCAAAACGGAATGGAGTGGAAGGATGTGGAGAACCGGTTCGACCAAGTGGCTTGGACCGGGAATGGCACCGAACCGGTTGTTACATGGTCAGAATTTGGCTTCTGCATTGGTGAGAAAAGAAAACCCAACAAAGAACAAACAGCTCCATGTAACATTATCACTTTGTTTCACGATCACAATAATTCATAATGCATTAATGCACGATGCTCCTTCAGACATTGATCAGTCCTTTTCGGTGTCTGTTCTGTTCTGGCACCTTTGCCATGTTCTTTGCATATGCTTTAGTGCCGGAAGATATGACAACTTGTATCGTTTTTATTATTATTCCTTTTCATACTTAATTTATTTAAATCATCAACGTTTACCACTTTCTCCTTTATTAAATTAACAAGTGCCTTATCTATACCTACCTGTTATGAATTCTGGTCTTATTTTTTCAATTATTATTTTAGATTTTTGCATTCAGTTTCGTACTGTTCTGTAGGGATGCAGCCATCGCCAGAGTTTGCTAACGAATTATTAAGGGCACTGAGAGGTGGCAAGGATTGGAAATTCGATATCAACAAAACCGATTTGCACAATTTTTGGCTTCGGATGAAGGATAATTCTTTTAACTCTAGAATGCGAATCTTCTTTGACATGTGAAAATTCTTTCCTAAACTCTCCTCTTTACAATTCTGAAATCAGTTTTGTAATTTTTTCTTTGGTTTACTTTATAGGTGTAACAGAAACATGGATGGGAGAATTACCGAGGCAGATATAAAGCAGGTTATCATATACTTAATGAGTTCTAATTTATAATTAACTTTAATATGATGTGAGGCCGTTTAAATTTTCATGTGTTAATTGTCTTGTTCCGCATGTTTATTTTATTGATTTTGGCGATACTCTATAGTGTGGTTCTAATAATTAATTCTAGTTGGGTGTATATATATATAAAAACTGTCATATTGATTCGCATTTATGCATGTTAGTATTGTTTGTGATTATGATTAATTTGTACCTTATGCAGACAATTTTACTAACCGCATCTATGAATAAGCTATCCGTGACACATGATGAAGCAGAGGACTACGCCGCTTTGATCATGGAATCTCTTGACAAGAAAAACAAAGGCTACATTCAGGTACCAATTTAGCCTCAACCCCCCATTGAGGATTTACCAGATGACCCTCTTCCATATTCTATTAAATAGAAAGATTGGTGATATGTAGATATCTCAAATGGAGTCTCTATTCAAGGCTAGCATATCAATAAAGGCACACTCTCCAATGAAACAAGGATCAACAATAGGAAGCACAAGGAATATTGATCACAACATTAGTGGTGAATTGTGTGAAGAACAAGAACCAATGTCAAGAATTGAAGTGTTGTTTAGAACCTATTGGCGACGTGGTTGGGTTGTTCTAGTGTGGGTGCTTGCATGCTTGGGGTTATTTGTGTGGAAATTTGTTCAATATAGGCATAGATCAGGATTTGAAGTAATGGGTTATTGCCTTCCTACGGCTAAAGGTGCTGCTGAGACCTTAAAACTCAACATGGCTCTCGTTCTCTTCCCTGTTTGTAGAAATACAATCACGTGGCTCCGCAAGCACCGTTCAATCAACTCTGTCATTCCTTTCAATGACAATATAAACTTTCACAAGGTTGGTTCGCTTCCCAAAGTCATAATATTCAATGTTCTATATTATATATTTGACTTGTCATTTTAACTTCGATACACAATATTTTATAGTGTTGTGTTAACACCTCGCATAGTTTGACTATGTTCATGGTTATATATGCGATTCTAATTTATAAACATGTTAATAGTATTAATATTCATTCAATTTTTTTATATTACATTGAATCTTCTGTCACATCTATCCTTTCTTTTTCTTCTCTTCTTATGATCTCTAGGTGGGGGTGCCCATGAAGCATTTTCCTCGCACCAGATGTCAAATTTGCTAATTGACACAACAACAATATATTAGGAACTGAAATCACCCGTCTTTTGTTTTATGTCTTTTTTTTTTACTTCTATTTTTAATTAAAAAATGATACGTCTTAAAAAACTTTTTTTATTACTATTTTTTTTTATTTTTAAATTAAAACTATAGGGACAAAATAAAAAGAAATAAAGATAAATAATTCGAGTCATATATTGCTGCCAGATGCATGTGTATGACCTTTTCTGCATACGTCCACGTTACTAAACTAAGGTCTAACTTAAACTTTAGTAAACTAAAATATCATAGATTTTATACTTTAGTGAAAATTCCTTCCTTGATTAAAACTCATTGTAATTGTAACGTGAAAATAAAATTGATAATAATTTTGGAATATATGCAGCTAATTGCAGGAGGAATAGTGGTGGGTGTGATCTTACACGGTGGAACGCACCTTGCGTGTGACTTTCCAAGAATTAGTGAGTCAGACAAATCAATTTTCCGTCAAACGATTGCATCAGGATTTGGGTACCACCAACCATCGTACATGGAAATTTTGGCCACGACGGAAGGGGTGAGTGGGATTGGCATGGTGGTGTTAATGGCCATTGCATTTTCACTAGCTACTAAGTGGCCAAGGCGTCGTTCACCTGTGCTACCCGTGTCACTTCAACGTGTCACTGGATACAACACATTTTGGTACTCCCACCATTTGTTTGTCCTTGTCTATGTGTTGCTAATTATTCATTCCATGTTCCTGTTCCTGACCGACAAGCTGATGGAGAAAACGGTAATCTTCTTTTATGTCTTTTTCTATCCTTTTGATGTGCTTTACATTTGTAATACTGTTCTTTTAGATAATGAGAAAAGTTTTGTTGACCTTAAAATAGAAATAATGCATCTAATGGTTAATAAAATTGAAACCCTTCTGAGTTTAGTGACATACGGCAAAACTTCGAGTTTTGATTAGAAAACCATGCAAAAAATAAATAAACACATGTGACAGTATTAAGGATAATGGGATGACAAAGACAGCCACGTGAGACCAATTTGAGTATTATTGACTTACTTTTGTGTTTCCTCTTTTCTACTGTTGTATTACCCGCAAAAGATAAAAAAGAAACATTGAGAATGCGCAAGATTGAATTGTGACCGCTTCTAAAGTTTTTATATTCCTTGCCACTAGTTTACTCCTAATTGCTCATCGTTGAGATTAATTAAGCTACTCATTAATATAATTGTTTATTTCACATGCCTTAGACAGTAGTAAAAGTTAATTGAGCTCTTTAATTTATAAGTATTATAGAATAAATTTTGGAGCCGATTTTCATTTTTTACATATCTTTCTATGAGCAGACATGGATGTACATTGCTTTTCCAGTTTTATTGTACGCTGGAGAGAGGATCTTTCGAGCCATTAGATCTGGATCTTACGAAGTTGATATTTTGAAGGTATTTGACATTTTCTTTATTAAACTATTCATAAAAACTGTTGGTTTAAATTTTATGCTTCATTTGATATATTTTACGGAACAGCTCAAAATCTGAAATATAAAAATTTCTTTAATTACTCTTGTCAAGGATAATTACTATCTTATCCTTTTTTTCTTTTTAATTTTCCATGCAGGCAAATCTGTATCCAGGTAAGGTTCTGTACCTCAAAATGCAAAAGCCAGAAGGTTTTAAGTACCAAAGTGGCATGTATATATTCCTTCAGTGCCCCCAAATTTCGCCCTTTGAATGGTACTTTTTTTTTTTCCCATCACCTGACCTCATTCAAGATTCAACCTTATGCAATTCTTAATTCTTATTTAATACTAGTTCTGTTCATTCTTCCATTTTTTATAATTCAAGCTAGTGAATCAATATTGATGTTCTATTTGAGTTTCTTTTGTCTAAATTTTCAGGCATCCATTTTCCTTGACTTCAGGGCCACAAGATGACTACCTCAGTGTGCACATTAGAACACTCGGAGACTGGAGCTACCAAATATATGCTCTATTCCAAGAGGTGAAAATAGCAATTTTTAATTGCAGAATTATGCTTGTTAAATTCTTCAATCTCAAAATTGTTCCACGATCTGCAGACAATGTTGTCAGGATTACAAGGGTGTCCAAAACTGTACATAGATGGCCCTTATGGTTCTGCTTCTCAAGACCATGTAAAATATGACATTCTTATACTAATAGGCCTTGGTATAGGAGCCACACCTTTCATTAGCATCCTCAAAGATGTAGTTAAAGGTGTCCAGACAGGACAAAATGATCATGTAAGATTTTTTTTATTGTGTTATTTATTTCAATATCTTCTTACTGTGATAATGTCTCCCTCCATTAAACAAACGCCATATTTGGGCATTTAAAATAGAGTGGTCTCAGAGAGTGCAGCTTAACCAAGGGTCCACTAAAAGCATATCTTTATTGGATTACAAGAGAGCAAAACTCCTTTGATTGGTTTAGAGATGTCATGAAGGAAATCTCAAACTCAACCAAAAAGCAGGTATGCGCAACTACAAATTGTTTTGACTATGGCATTGGCATAATGTTCACAGAAAAAAAATCTATGTTAACAACTACATTTTTATTACAAAGATGCAAATAAGATCTTCTAGCATTTTCTGACCATTCTAGTTTTCTGATAAAATTTAAGTCGGTTGTGGAGATGCACAATTTCTTGACCAGTGTATATCCTGAGGGAGATGTTCGTTCGGCTTTATTAAGTGTCATTCAGGCCTTGCATCTTGCTAAGAGTGGCATTGACATAGTTTCCAGGACTCCAGTAAGTGCATCTTCTCCTTAGTTTTGGCCAATATATGGTCAAATATATAAATTACTAGCAAGCTTTACTTACATGAATGGCGTTAAAAAAATACCATAAGATATTATAGGTTTGATGCCTTCTGATTATAGCTTAAGTGTGTTATTGTTATCTCTGCTATATATCAAAGTTTGGCATAACAAACAACATTTCTATATTTATATAATTTCAAATCATGTTCTTCTCAACTACTCCAACTTAAAGTCCTTTGGAAGAATCCTAACAAATACATATCAACCAAAAATTGTTTTTAAAAAAATGAATCATTCGTGTCATGTCAAGCTGCACATACAATTTGCTATTACTCGATTGAAAATAAATTTGCTATCGGAATTTCCAGATACACACACATTTTGCTCGACCAAATTGGTTCAACATATTTTCTAGATTGGCTCGCAAGCATGGAGGAGCTAAGATCGGTGAGAAAATATCCCTCGTATACATTTCCAAATTTGTACGTTATTTAATAATTGAAATACACATATATAATTTAGGGATTACTGCTTTACTCAAAATCCTTATCTCCAAACACACAGAAAAATGAGGTTAAATTAATATCCTAACTTTCTTTTTGGTCTAAATTGTTTTCCTAACTAAGAATATGGATTTTCTTCTACAGGGGTTTTTTATTGTGGCCCATCTAAATTGGCAAAAGAATTGAAGAGGTTGTGCACCAAATTTTCCACCAAAACCACAACTAGATTTGTTTTCCACAAGGAAAATTATTAAACTTGTTTCTGAAGGAAGGACATCTGTTGTACCAATTCCTTAAATTAGGAAAGCAGAGTTACCTTCAGAATCTTGGACAGTTCCTTTTATTCGGCCAGAGCATCCGTATATATATTTGCTGCTCTGGTGCCTCTGACATACAAACTTGAAAGTTGAAAGAAAAATACGTCAGTCCTCATTGGTCGTTGTAAGTTGAGTGAGTGTCCATGCTGCTATTCGGACATCTCAAGCAGCATATTATAGTTTTAGGAAAAGTATGTATAAGTAATGAATAAATGTTGAAAAAAAAAATACGATAGTGAATTATTCTATGAAAAGTTTGAATTCAATCAAACATACTTTGTAACAATCAGGTCTTTACTTTAAAATTTAAATATGAATATAGGTCCATTTTTAATCACAATTTTCACACATTTTAAGGTAGCTAGCTATGTAAAAAGTACAAACTGAGCTAAAGAACAATTCTTGTACCATTTAAATGGTATCCGTATAACATGTTTAACAAACTGCATTTTGTACCTACATTCAGCAAGTAACTAGTAATAAGACAGACTTAACGAAAGCTGCATGTAGAACTAGAAATGAAAGCTGCGGGAAAAAAATAATCATCTCTACATCAAAAAGCACCGTTCCAGAAATATTAAATAAGCAGAAAATACCCATGAAATTCGGTTTCAGTATGCAACAATTGTTACAGAAGCTGAATGAAAGTTAAAACAAAATGTAGCGTGGCAATTTCAAAATAAAACCTACTCAAATTATTATCTTAATTTCATCATTGTTGAAAAACGACTTAAGATTTTTCTCATGTAATTTATTATAAATGTAATAAAAATCTGTCTTAGCTTTAGCTTTTGAGATTATTAAATTACAGCATAGTTTCAGAGTCTAAACCCTTGAGAGTGAACTCTGTTATCCTCAAAGACTCGAAGTACGAAAAATCATAACAAAGAAAAGAAGAAAGCGGAAGGCCCATAGACAAATCAAGAAATGTTTTGAAGGAGGAGTTAAAGGTAAATAAACTTTGACGTGTATGATTACACTAAATAAATTACAAAATATGTATATATATTTGTTAAAAGAAAAATATGTATGCATAAATTACAAAATCGAACATATGTCAGCTGCAAATCCATCATAAGCCCTGATGTTGATGCAAAAGAATGATATTTTTTTGCTACTATCTATATTTTCTTACTGTGTTCTTGCCTTTGCTAAAAATTGAATCATTTATGTGGTGCTTTAAATCTTGTACACCATTTTATCATGAGTTCTTCAACACTGGCATCCATGCGGGTACCAACACCACCCCACACAAGCATGTGTGCAAGATCCCCAACCGATGAGCCTGTCACTTCGTACACTCGTTTAAACCCAAGTCTCGTGTAGAACCTCACCAACTGTAAAAACAAAATCGTATTTAACTATTCTTAGCATTCTAGATCCAAAGGATTAGTAATTATCATAAAACAAAGCCCATGTACCCAAATAAATAATAGAAAATGCTAAAATATAACATCAACAACAATAAAGCCCATCCTACTACTTGAACTAGGTTAAAAACCTATTTATCTTGTACATTATTTATCACTAAATTTCTTTGCACAAAATAAATAATATAAAATGCTAAACAATGCTAATTAAAATTTTTAAAAAAATAGCATTACAATAATTTATAATAAAAATCTGCAGTTAAATAAAAGATATGAAGGTTTGGATAAGGTTAGTTTGTAAGAAGAGAACCTTAGAATGGTAAAGATCTGAATCATTGATGGCTAATAACTGAGCTATTTTGCAGCCAGAATCATATCCATGTCGAATTGCAACGGCTCCAATGAACAAACCAAGTCCAAATATTGATTTTTCCATGGCAAGAGTTTCTCTTTGGAGTTTGATAGAGTCCAAGTGAAGAATGGTGCCTTCGATCCAGAATCTTATGAATCCCTCAGCCCTTCCAAGCTCTCTGTGGGTTACCAAGCTCCTTGCTGTGATTCTGAAAAAGGGTCCGAAAGTTTTGAGGTGAAGGTCGAGTTTCTGTGCTCTGGAAGCTTCTAGAATATCGGACATGGTTGGCATAAGTGTTTGATTGGTAGTCTCTGAAGCTGAAGTGAGAGGAGAGAAAGTGTGTCTCCGTGAAATTGGAACATTTGGCGGAAGAGGAAGATGGATCGTTGTTTGCAGCGGAAGGTTTTGGCTCACATTCATTGCCAAAGGGAATGTCATGTACCCACCAACTCAATTCTTCTGCAACCACCTCAATTTTTTGTATATCAATTTGGCAGAGGAAGAGACAGGCTCTAACAAAAAAACAGATATTTATATTTTTTATATTATAAAGTAATTATATTATTAAGAAGAAAATATAACCTTTATTAAATTTAATTAATGAATCGTATAACTAATCATGATGAGTCTTCATTTAATAAAAACAATATTTTTCTTTTAAACATTATGATATTATTTACTAACATGAGAATATTTAAAATTTTATAAAATAGAGATAAACCAAAAGAAAAGCATGATAAAAAAAATATACTAAAATATATATTTAATCTTTATTATTTACGTTTATTTATTTACTTTAAAATCTTACATTTTAATTTTTATCAAATGCTTATTACAACTTTTTAATAACACTGTTAAAAAAACAATTGAAGAAATAATAACTTTTTATAACGATGTTATAATGTTATAGACTAAAATATAAAATTTTGTATGCGAACTAAATATAAGGATATCAAATATAAAAATTAATTTATAAATGAAAATAATTATAAAAATTAAGTCTATGTTTTTAAAAAATCCATATAAAAGAAAGTAAACGTAAAAGTACAAAAACTGTTAACAAAAATAGTAACATAAGATTTTCAAAGGAAAATAAATTGTTTTATCTGGTTTTCTAAAAATGCTTGAAAGAGTTTCAATCCATTGGCATTTAGTCGATTGTGTTAGAATACTTTACATACAATTTTGGTGAAGGTTGCTATAGACTTGGCCTTGTTTTTTGTTTTTTTTTCAAATTATGTGTTTTCTCACTGATAGATTATATCCGAAAATATCGACTAAGGAAGAATTTAAATCCACTTTATATTGAATGTGTTAGTATATATTTAAAAAGAGTTACCTTTCGTTTACAACGGACATTAAACTTAGATAATTATATTTTATAATAATTTTGTATAGAATATAAAATTCACTAATTCAATTATTAAATTATTTTATATTAATATAGTTATATTTTTTTTTATAATTTAAATATTGACTTATATTTCAAAAATATAATACACATTAAAATAAAACAATGTAATAAGTATTAATTAATTTTAATTTTATATAAAAATTATAAATTTAATACACGTCAAAACTTGTGCAGCGTACTCGTGCTTTCATTTTATATCTAATTAAACAGAAAACTTGCATCTTAGATCATGAATTATGGACTAACCATTTAATTTAAATCATTTTTCGACTATTCAATGTATTACTTTAAGTAAATTACATCCTTTAAAAAAACACTTATTATATTATTCTTTTCTATTTTAAAAATTATACTATGTTCCCTTAAAAATTAATATCTGCAACAATTTAATCTATACTTAAATTATATTATTTTCCTTGTAATATTTCTATTAAAATTTTAAAATAAGGAATTGAAAAGTTAAGATTGATTTTAAAATAATAATAATAGTAAAATATTAAATAAATAAATAAATAGAAAAAGGACATATAAAAAGAGGAGTTGCATTATTTAAAAAAAAAAAAACTCGTGCATAAGAGGTTATAAAAATAATTTTTTAGCTCAGAGAAAAATTTCATGTTATTATAAAATACTTTCTTAAAATAATCACTCAGAGGTTAAGACAAAAAAAACAAAGAGTAAATATTAGAAGAGAAACAAATATTAAATAAACTAGCAGAGTAAAGATTAAACAAAAGTAAAGTTTTTTTGTTTGCTCAAGTAATATCTTTTCTTCCTTCTATTTTCTTATATTATACTTTTTGCTTATTTTGTTAATTTGGTGATTTGCACTTGTATTCATTTTTTTACTATCACACAAATTCCTTTTCCTTATTCCTAAAACATGGTTTCGTGTTTGAAATAAATTATTATTGTTTTGTTTGATAGTGATTTTTTTATTCGTTCTTTTTAATTTTATTTTAATTCAAAAATAACAAAAAAACATTTTTTATAAATACTTTATTTATAATATTGAATTTAAAAATACTAAAATAAATTTAAATTTTTTTCATTCTTTACAAATAAAAACAAATACTCTTTTATAAAATATTTTTTAGCTCAATTTGAAATCCAAAAAAGAAAATGAGTTTTTTAATTCATTCCTATTATCTAAAAAAAAATATTATTTCTTACATATAGTTTTATTCTTTAATTCAAGTTAAGATTTGTTTTTATTTATGAATAACCAATTTTATCTAACTTTCTTTTCAAAATAATAAAATAAAATTTAACAATTTAAAAATAAAGAATATAATTAATGATTAAATTCTGTTGTAGAATATTAAGATAATAGAAAAAAATTATTTAAAATTTAAATTTCAAATTTAAATGGTTAAAGTAGTTGTAAATTTTTAGAAAAGTGAAAAAGATAGTTAAAAAAAAAATTGATTGATAGTTATAAAAAAATAAAGAATTACAGTAAGTTAGAGTATTTTATCAAAATAAAAAAATATATATATTTAATAGGATCAAGTGTTAAGCTATAAATAAGAGGTATATCTTAAAAAAGAAAGAGACAAAAAATGAAAAGCTCAAGAGAAAAAGAGTAAGAGAAGATAGAATGAGAAAATTTGGAGAAATAAAGAGAAAGAGGAAGAGAAAATTTTGAAAGAAAATTCACCATTCTTAAAGTATATATTCTCAAATAATACCATAAGTGAGGGTGAGAAAAAAAAAGGCATCACAATTCAAATATTAGAAAAGCCAACAAAAGTTGAGAAAAAAATAAATAAAGGTTTGAGTAAACAAAAATCCTAAACAAGAGTGTACTTTTGATCATATCATTGATAATGTTTCATTATTTTTATTTTATTTTATTTATTTGTGAATCCAAATCCTCTGTACTTTAAGTGAGAACTGCAGACTGCAGTCTAAATTCCTCTCTACACTGCTAAAATTTTGAGAAACTTTATGCAAGATCATGTGATCAACTATTTTTTAATCAAAATTTAAAAGTCATCGTTCTTATAATCATTATCATCATTCTCAACAATTTAATATGATTCTAAATAGTTATACTTCACATATACTTAATACATGTAACACACTAGATAATACATTCAGAATATCTAGTGGATGATAGATGTAAAAGTCCTTGGTAATTAAGTAGCCTTGATAAAAAACAAAGATTTTTCAAAATTTCTATAATGTAGAAAGGAATAAAATGAAGTTTTAAATTTTTTTGTAGTTTTAGTTTAAGCTAAAATAAATTATTTACCAAACTTGCTTAAGCTATTTCTTGTAGTTTAAACAAAATTCACTTTTATTAAATTTGTTTAAGTAAAATAAAATTCGCTTAAGTGAATTTAGAATACAGACTGCAATGTCCACTTAAAATGTATAAGATCTAAATCATTTATTTACACTCTCAATCATTTTGGTTCATTTTTACTAAATGCAATAATGAAGTCTAACCAATAATTCATTAAATAATATATCTTTTAATTTCTTTATACTTTTTATTGTGTTTTTTATATAGTTTTGTTGAGTTGATTTTATTTTATTCGCATTCTTAATTATTTTTTTATTTTTTTAAGTTTAATAATAAATCTTAACAAAAAAATATATCAAATAAGATTATTTTTATTCACTTTAAAACACATAAAATAAAATACATTTATATTTGATACTCAAAATTAGTTATTATTCACCTTATTGGTTAAAATAATAATAATCAAAACTTTTAAGAAATTTATTGATAACTATTTATCATAATGAGAAGTTGTCTATATGAAATTGAATTGAAGTTTAACGCATTAATTCAGAGACATTGAGGATATATGTATTTTTTTAAAAATAGTTGCTAATTAATGTAAAGGAGCCTTAGGCTTGATAAGCTTGTTAAACACAAAAAACCGACCTTTGTGTGGTCGGGATAAGTATATTAACTTTATTTTGATTTAATCACATCTTTCTTTGATTTACTAGCACTTTATTGTAATTTTTTATTATAAATTAAATTATAAAATGTAATAAATATTTATTTTTAATATAATTTTATTATATTAATTGCTCATTCATATCATATATATATATATATATATATATATATATATATATATATATATATATAGAATCTGAAAATAAAGCATAAAATGAGTACCTAATTTATTACATTAAAGAAATGTTTCAGATTCTTTATTAAATTCATATAATTATTTAAGTAAAAAAGTTTTTATGACCTGGTCACACGTATTTTTCTTTTAAATCAATAAATTACTATAATTAAAAAGCATTTATTGAAAGTTTCAAGTCCACGGATGAAATAGTAGAAAGCATTATTTAAAATCAATAAATTATTATACTTAATAAAAAAGCCAACCTTAAATCCCTTTTTATCTATTTTTTACATAGACATGGATATGCATTTATCTTTTCTTTTTTTTTTTAAGTAAGGAAATAAAAATACCTCGTCAACTGGAACACGCCTTAAGCTGATATGAATGTACCCGTTTAAACAGAATACGCGAAATCGGAACCCTAATTCTGTTATCGGCCAACAATGGCAACAGCGAAGCGATGCCACTACGAAGTCCTCGGCCTCCCCCGAGAATGCACTGCCGACGAGATCCGATCGGCTTACCGGCGGCTCGCCCTTCAGCGCCACCCCGACAAACTCGTCCAATCCGGTCTCTCCCAAGCCGACGCCACGGCTCAGTTCCAAGAACTCCAACACGCCTACGAAGTCCTCTCCGATCCCAAGGAACGTGCGTGGTACGATTCTCACCGTTCCCAGATCCTGTACTGCGAGCCTAACTCACGTAACAACTCCATTGTCACCGACCTTTTCTCCTTTTTCTCGAACACCGTCTATTCTGGTTACTCCGATTCCGGGAAGGGTTTCTACAAGGTATATTCCGACGTATTCGATAGAATCCACGCGAACGAAATAAACTTCGCGAAGAAAATGGGCATTGGTGTGGAGGCGGTTCGGCCCGCGCCTGTTATGGGGAATTTGGATAGTCCGTATGAGCAGGTTACGGCGTTTTATGGTTACTGGTTAGGGTTTTGTACGGTTATGGATTTTTGTTGGGTTGATGAGTTTAATGTTATGGCGGGTCCAAATCGGAAATCGCGGAGGCTTATGGAGGAGGAGAATAACAAGGTTAGGAGGAGGGCGAGGAAGGAGTATAATGATACTGTGCGGAAATTGGGTGATTTTGTGAAGAAGAGGGATAAGAGGGTGGTTGATATGAAGGTGAAGAAGAATTTGGAGATGGAGAAGAAGAGGGCGGAGGAGAGGGAGAGGAAGAAGAGGTTGGAGAAAGAGAGGAAGGAGAGGGTTATGGCTTATGAGGAGCCTGAGTGGGCTAAGGTTGAGGAGGAGGAAGAGGTGGTGGTGGAGGAGTGGTTTGAGGAGATGGAAGAGAAGAAGGAGTTTTATTGTGTGTTGTGTGGGAAGAAGTTTAAGAGTGAGAAGCAATGGAAGAATCATGAACAGTCCAAGAAGCATAAGGAGAAGGTTGCTGAGTTTAGGGATTCGCTTGATGATGAAGAGGATTTGGAATTGGATGTGGAAGAAGAAGGAGAAAGAGAAGGAATGGAACATGAGGAAGATGCAATTGCGGAGAATGATGATCAAGGCGAGACTGATTCTGTAGTTAATGATTTGGAGAGTAGGATTAGAGATGGTCTCAATGTTGCAGATGAGGAGACTAGAAATGAGGCTGAACTAATTGATGATGATGATGATGAATTTTCTGATGCCTTGCATGCAGAGAAGGGGGAAGAGGAGTTGTCAGTTAGATTTGATGACAATGATGATGATGAAAATGATGTTCTTGAAGCAATGATGGCAGGGCAGAAGAACAGAAAACCGGGTGCTTCAACACACAAACCCAAGGCTTCGGTAGCTCCATCTCAAATTGAAAGTGAGAGTGATGGGATTGGCTTTCCGGAATATAACAATCGGAAGAGCACAAGGAAGAAACGCGGAGCCAAGAAAGAAAAGGGTAGGAAACACTGGGAAGAATCTAATGTCGCTGCTGCCAATGGCAATTACGAGAATGTAAACAGCAATGGAAATGATAATTCTAATGCAGAAGAGTCTGTTTCCCAACATTCGGTGGAAAATGAGATTAATGGTAAAGAGGGCGAACAGGTTGGTAGGAATAAGAAGATTTCTAATCAAGCAGCTGCTGATAAAAAGGGAACTGCAAAGGACCCAAAAAGCAAAGCAAAAAATTCATCCAAAGGAAGAAAAGGGAAGGTAAGAACTTATGGATAAACCTGCTCTCCAATCCCTTATCATGAGAGTTGAGATATACCTGTACCAGCTGGGTGTTTTACTGCCTATTGTTTTAGTATTTTCGTGAACTTGAAACCCACATTTTACTTTCAATAGTTTTGTTTTTCTTAATGGGGCCACTTGCGATGACAATCATGGCATGTTCAGATTTCCATTTTTATGATTATTCTCTGGTTTCTAAAACCCACATTTTACATTCAGTGGTTTCTTCATAGCTTTTGGCAGGATAACGTTGTGTATTCTAATTTTGTCTTGTGATTAATAAGATGGTCTTTGTGCTCTATATTCTGATTTCATTTGTTTCTTTAATTAGATGATATCAAAGAGTCTTGGCAATGCTTGTGAGACATGTGGAGAGGAGTTTGAATCAAGGTATATGTCTCATGTTTATCAAATTTTAATTGTTCTCATGGTAAATTTTTTGTCGTCAGAATAAACTGTTATATGTTTGACTTCGTTTGATTTGATTCGCAGGAATAAATTACATCAGCATCTTGGCGATTCTGGGCACGCAACATTAAAATGTCGATAGGGAAACTACAGGAGTAATATTCAATTCAATCTTGATCTTGATCTCGAGTACGAGTGTTCCAATTCCACACGTGGCCTGGTCCAAGCATTGATCCATTCTTTAATTTTTACTATAGTGTTCAAATAATTTTCAAGTGATTGTTCGATAGCAAGCATTATGTTTTTGCACAGTTAAAAAAGATTTTGATACAGGGTACTACACAAATCTTTATGGAAATCATCAACCTTTGTATTAACACTCTGGCCAATTTCAAATCCAAAAAAAAACGTGGTGCTTACAAGAATGAATGAAATGATTTAGTTAGATTGAATGATTTGAGGTTCTCCTATAATTCTTGTACTTATTAATTGAAAATATTGAATATTTTTAATAATTAATGCAATTATTAAATAAATTCTTAATTTGATCCTAAATGTTGAAGATTAATTTCTTTTGTAGTGGAGAAATCACCAAATCAAAGTGGTAGATTTCATTACTAAAGCTTTTTTTTTTATTATTATTATTCCAATTACACTCCTTTTCTAGGGAGATGGGGTGTTTCAAGACCATAAAAATTCTAGACACGATTTTGCAAAGTAACCTACAGGTAAAAATTTGCACCCGTATGTAGGTTTGATTAAATGGTTTTTTACGAGTGCAAGTTTATTAACATATAATTATGTAAATTGAAATAAATATAACATTATTAATTTTAGATTATTTTAATATGTATTTAACATAATGTATTTAAAATATGATAACAATATTCTATTGTTTATAATTCAAGCAGTTTTTTAATAATAGTTTTTTATATAAATTACTTTAAAATGAGTTATTTCTTTAAAAATATTTTTAATAAATATTCGTAAGTAATAATAAATACACTAAAAACTCGCTCCAACAGGTATTAATAAGAACTTTTAAAACAACCACACCACAAAAGACCTACTGTAATTAGAAAGCTAAAGGACTTGCAAATTTCACAATATAATTTCTTATTTTCAACGTAAAACTCAAGTCTCATCTTGCATTTAAGATCCTAACATCCCATAATGCTCCACAGCACCAACGCAGCAAGTAGCTAGAATTCGTACCCCTCCTGCCCTCTTCACATCTCTACCCATTTTCTACTTATAGTTCAAAAGTAAAATTATTGAAATCATACTACAAAAATAATCTGTAGAAAATGTACTCGAAACTACAAATGAGATAAGAGGTCCATTTGTATTATTTGATTCATATGCCTGAGGGAAGGTAGAGATAACCTTTATTTGTTTGAGTTAGAAAATTAATTTTACACCTAATAAAAAACAGACGTAACCCAAAATTATTGTAACCATCTTGCAAAGAAGAAACATGGATTCAGAGTGATTAAAAATAACAACAGCTCACCTCTCTAGAACGTGGTCACAGTCAACCCTCCATCAAACAGATGTCTTTGTAATTAACTGTGCTTAAGTCACTAATACAACCACAACATGTGAATCAGCCCTACTTCAGGCAATAAGTATATAGGACCACGCCTAAGGATACCTAATGAAGTCAGACACTCACAAGACATGTCTCATCAATCAAAACACAACTCGCACACCTAAACTTCTACCAAGCAGAATATATAGTAGCAAATTAAAAGGTTGAATCACTCAATCTGCTATAAACATTAAATCATACTTGACAAACCCACTATTACATGGCATTGACCCAACAACTCACATTATCGCAATGATAAAAACTCAAAACAAAGGATAAACCAATGCCTATATAAAGGAAATAAGTCTCAAGCCTCAAGCTTGTTAAACATTGTATCCCTTAAACCAATGCCTATATAATCTTTAGCCTTAAACCCTTTCTAACTTAAACATAGGAGCAGCAATAAATGTACATGCGATAAAACGGTAGCAATAAAGCAGCAATTCAATCATTTAGAGAATTACTATACTTCAATATTCTAGTTACCACCAAATGTTATCACAAAAAATATACATGCATTTCAGGTACCAGCATTGATTTGTAGATGATAAAAGTAGCTCATGCACGAGGCACACATGAAACTAGCGAGAAATATGCAGCAACTTGAAGCCCTATCATGGGTTTTTGTTACCTAGTATCTACGACAATGGAATATTTCTGTAATAGTAAGCTGCTCTGGAAGATTTTACACCAAAAGTAAATGCTACGCCTATGCAAATCACAGCGATTTAGCAGCACCTTCTATGTAAGCAACGGCTTCCACCTCTGAAAGCTGTTCTCCCTCTACCAACCCTTTTATTAAGGTGTTGGCATACGCTTCATTAGGGGCATGTAACGGTAATTTACCAGATTTGAAGTGTTCAATATCAATAAGCGAACACCTGGTTAAGGTAAATATAAATATCATGCTTAAAGAGACCAACAATTGAGTTACCTACGCAACTACAAAGTATAATTTGTTACTCACGTCATGGTAATAATTGGAATATCCTGCTCCTTTCCCAAGTAGACAACATTACCATACCAACCACCCTGCACAAATAAAAAAAGTCATGACCAAGACAGCCAACACCCACACTGAATAAAGTAAAAGTGCAAATAAAATATATGCACTAATCACTATCAGAAAATTTTGCAGGGACAAAGGATATATATACCTTGACAACCTCCAGAGAATTGAACTCGTTGTCAGAGACAGCATTCAGGGTAGTTACATCAAATAAAGGAGAGCCCACATTAAGGCTTAAACCATTTTCCTGAAACAAAATATCATTGAACTGCTCTAGCCTGAAACAAATGTGGAAGAGAGAGAATGTAAAGTCATGACCTCCAGAAACAAATGTGGACGAGAGAATCAATAATATTGTGTTCTGACAGCAAAGCTTTGAAAGAGAGACAGGTATTCGGCTAATAGAAGCAGATTTGAACAGCTGTCAGTTAGACAGATTTACTTACGAAATTTTGTACAGGCACATGAAAGTGTTGTGCTGAAAATTTTTCTCAGGATTAAGAAATGCAACTCCTCCAAGACCCCATGAATGAGATGAATCACGACCGAAGAATATATGACAAGGGAAAGTCTTCCACAGGATTTCCGCTGGCAGAGTTCTGTTCTTCGAACCAGAACAGTTCTTCTGCATACCTTCCACCTGAATATCATTTTTGAGATCTTTCATAAAAATATAGCAGACAACAGAAGAAACAAAGCTCCAGAAAAAGAAAGGATGGAAGTAAGAAATGAAAGGAAGGTCGTGAATTCTTTTTAAACTGAACAATCAATACATATTGATCACCCTAAATTCTGAAAGCACAAGACTTAATCTTGTCAAATATGAGAAGCTCACTCTTCGTATTATCAATGCAGCAAATTACAATATATTATTTTTTTAAATTCAAAGATAAAGATAAATTCCACAGCTGGCCTACCTTTCCCTCAGTAGCAATTTGACAGCATTATAAAAAAAATGGCAAAGGCTAATAAAAATAAATAACTTTCCAAAATTTGACTACTATATAAATATGCTCAAATGCTGATGAAATGATTAAAATGAAATGAATAATAAATTATAATTTGTTTCATAACTGCATTTTGTTTATCAGTTTATATATTTAGTTCAATATAAAAAAGCAACTTGACTTGAATGTTGCATTACCTGTCCACCTGCTATGTAGCAATATAATCTTGCTTTCAGCATATTTGATCCATAAGAGGCATACCATATGTGAACATTTGACAATTCCGATCGCCAAGAACTAGAAGCATCAATTTCTTCATCTGCAACAAGCATAGAGTTTGTCAAGCAATAACAGAAGAAAGGTCTTCATATACCATACTTTTGCCATTGTATTACACCAACTCCACTGGATCCAAACCCAATCTAGAGAAACCAAAAATCAACTAAGTTTTATCCCAAGGTTAAAATTATATTTTATAAAAATAAAATCTCAACTTCAGGGGTGTTTCTCAGATTTTAAAAGCTATCTAGGGACCATGGTTACCAGCATCAATTTTCAGATTGGTAAGTGGTTTAATGACATCCTCAAGAAGTTCTCCAAGATTTTCTGAATTTATTGCACCCTTATCATCCTCAGCCTCAGAGTCAGAGCTCAAGATAAGAGTATGCTGCAATAGCAAAAAATCTTGTTTCAGCAAAAAAATTGATGAGAATATTTGCCCATATAAAGGATGAAAACAAGACATATACACATAAAAAGGAATGGATGCAAGAAAAAGAGATACCCAAATTAAGCAAAACAAATTTGGAGTTTTTGTTCCTCTAGAATAATCCACGATTCCACACACACATGATTCACTATTATTGAATCAGCATACTCTAACAAAAATTGTAGCATAACAAAAGTTGTCTGTGGCTTACATACACGAGAAAATAAGAGATTGTCATTGATTTCATAAAAAACGGAGATTCCTAAAAGGATGAGTTATGCCTTGGCTATTAACTCAACTCCCAGGAATGCTTCAAATTGGGTAAGCCAGAAATGCTCATTGGGCAGCATACCAATAAAAAATTGCTCATTTAAAAGAACTTAAATATGATTTACAGTAATCAACAAACCTAGATATTCAATTTATAGTTATTGATAAACTACTTGATCAGTGGTATTTAATTTGTATTTGACAATTATATAATCTTGTACAAAACTTTGAAGAGAATTATACTGAATATTGAAAAAGAAAATATACAACATTCCATTAACGAAATTTACCACAAAAAGAACAATAATTATGGAAAATACATTACCGGAGGTGGTGCCATTTGAGAAATTAACTTTTGTGGTAATTCACACGCAAGTGTAGGCCAAAAGGGACTTAACTCCTGTCGAACCTGGAAAATATGCAAGCCACTTTAGCACTAAGCTTGTGTTTGTAAGGAAGTCTAATGGTAAGAAGTAAAGGAAATAAAGTTGAATAGAAAATATCAACTTTTCCTGTTTGGATACTTGAAAAAAATGGAGAGGAGTACACATTGTAGACCCAATTAGTGAAAACTTCGCTATCCAACTAATCTATCCAAACAGGAGAGAAAACACTGGTGTCTACATTAAAATATCATTTTGTCTTTATAACATCTACCCAATTAAAATAACATCTAAAGAAACATAAATCCTATTTGTAACTGGTAGGAAAGTAATGCATAACACCCCCCACTCCCCGGTAAAGAGAAAAATAAGTTGTCTCAAAAAGAGGGAACAACATATATCAGTATCACGTGTTATTACCGCTTGAATCACACGCCATGTAGACTCAAACGGATAGGCCTCTGACGATCCAATAACAGGCTTGTCTTCTAGCAAAACTTCCAAACAAGCACGCATGGATTTTGCAATGGAATCGAGATTATATCCTCCTTCTAAAATCAGTACAATCTTACCTTCAGCCAAATTCATCAGCTGAAATATAGAAGAGAAAAACATATTAACAGTCACTGATATAGTGATCAGCATATTAATTAAACGTTTCAGATAGTTTTTCAAATTTTAAAATTAATGAGAAGAGAGAAGTACATAATGATAGAACAAGAAAATAATCAATACACATACTTATCCACCTACACATTTAATTTTCAGTTGTGCTAGTCTGCTACTACACTAATCATTAGAATGTAGCAGTTTTATCAAGAAAGTAGCATACTAGCATTACAATAAAATTATGAAGTAATCAAGAAAAATAATTTTTAAAAGCAACCTTTTTCAACAGAACAGAATAACCAAATGGTGTGACACGACATCCTCCCAGAGGGTCACCAACAGCTGTTACATTTAAAAAAGTAAGTAGTTATTACACTAAAAGAAAAATCAATTACCATATCAACTGACCCAAACACAAGGATCAGTCCCTTCTTACACAACAGGTAAACTAGAGTTCAAGAGCAAATACTTGCTTACAAAGTTACATTCCTCCAAAGCCCAATGAAGAACAAGTAATCCCTGCCCCCTCCCTAAAAAAAAATCCTCAAATTTTGCAACAACAGACCTGCATCAAATCCGGCAGAAACTATAATTATGTCTGGATTAAATTCTTTCGCAACAGGGAGCAAGATGTGGTCCCACACAGCAAAGTAATCTGCATCACCACATCTCCCATTCTCCCAGGGCACATTTATATTATATCCAGCACCTGCTCCTTCTCCAATCATGGTATAAAAGCCATCATCATTGCTCGGATAAAAATTCCCAAACTCATGCCTGCATGAATAGAAAAGTTGAAATGAGTCAGGATCAACTATGAAAGCGATACACTAGCACCCACAAAAATCTTAAATCCTTAAATTGAAAGTCCTTATTGGAAACCCAACCCTGAATTACTAGTTTAAATAAGGGGAAACAATATTTAGCAACCAAGCCCAATTACATTATCTAACAGATCCAAAGAGCTATGAGCAACAAATTTTTACAAAATTACACATACCAAAAAATAATTACAAGATCACCAACCATTAAAGCGTACCAGAAAAAATGTAAAATAATTAACACACCTGTGAACAGAGAAGAATAAAACTCGAGAATCATTCCAGAACATTTTTTGAGTACCATTTCCATGATGGACGTCCCAATCAACAATTAAAATTTTCTTTACACCTAATTCTGGCTGTCAATGCACATGGCAAAACCGGAAAAATAAAGGTGGCAATAAAGCAACTGGCCAATTCAAGGCTTATAAGTAAATATATAATTGATTGTAGGTGTTGTGTTACCCACTTTTTCATCTAAGAGATAACGTGCTGCAATTGCCACATTGTTGAACAGACAAAATCCCATAGCTTCATTTTGTTCTGCATGATGACCAGGAGGTCTAACAATAGCAACAGCAGAATTCAATTCCCCACTTGCCACTCTTTTCACAACCTAGTTGTCAAAACATCTTCAGTTAGGTTTATAAAGTTTTTACACGACTAAAGTACAAAGCTTACTTAAATCAGTTAATCAGATTAAGTGCTAGGTCTGCCGATGTACAACATTACTGCCATACAAGAAGAGGGTGTTTTTGCAACTAGAATCTACGTTCACCATGTCAGAAGGAAACAACTGCACATTTACACCAAAGTTCACTTTCCCATGTATTTGGAGAGAGAGAGAGAGAGAGACTATTGCTAGGATTTGAACCTTACAATTGCACCAAGGTTCACCGTCAAAGGGAACTTATAGAAACAAAAACAAAACAAAAAAACTGCTCCTCTGTCAAATCGTAACAGTTCAATGAGTGTAATTAAAGCAATCTTAACCAGAGAGATAAACATCATCAGGTCCAAACAACATACCAGTTTCTTTTAGTAAATTCCTTTTTATGGAAAACCAGGGTTGAATTATACCAGGAAAAACTTCAGTGGTCTAAGATATAAAAAACAGTAATAGCTAACAATACAACCAAGGACAATAACATAAAGCAGAAAACTGAAAACAAGTAATAATACAGTAGACTCGCATTTAACCAACAACACAAACTCTCAAAAGTTCACAATCTACAAAGAATCATCGCAAATATCACCTCTACAGCAGAGCCAGCAGCAAGGTAAGCAGCTTCCGTTGAACCTTCATTAAAGTATATAGAATTCAACTTTGCGGCCATCTTATGCCTTCGCGAATCAAATTGTTTCGAGCTAATGTTCTTAATCAGTTTTACATGATTCTTGGAGTGCACTAAGAGTATATGTTTGTCTTCAGCTTCTTTAGCATCCAATATAACGCATCTAAAACACAATAAAATAAAACACCAAAATTATTCAAAAGCGAAAAGACACTTCGTGATTCAAAACCCTAAACCAATGAAGGAGCATGAATTACCGTTGAGGAATGCCAGCGGTTTGAAGTTTGTTCCAAATAGCAGTAATGCGATTAGGGCTCTCGGGATGGTAATCGTCGTCTGGTGTGTGGTGCTTACACATCTTCTCGTCGTAGAGTAAACCCACACGGCGTTGATCACTGTTCCCACTCTCGCGCTCCATGATTTAGTTTTTACGTCTCGGCTAGAAAAGCGAGGGAAGTAGAAGCATTCGTCGAACACAAATGGTGAAGGTAAGTAGAAGTAAGAAACTAATGATTTTGAATTTGAAACGCGATTCTTTTCCGCTTTTATACTTTTTACCATCAATTTCCCCTCATTTCTCTTTGCCAAGAGACCATGCTCTCTAGTGTGTTTGGTTATCAGGTTACTCAGCTCTATTTCACTTCCAATTTCCATGCAAGTGACTATTTTTTAAATTTTCTTGTATATACTTTTTTTTTTTTTATAGGCAAAACAAATCTTATTAAAAAGAGTTCAAGGGAAACTCAAAACTTATATACACAAAAAATTATTAACTCAGAAAAATAAAAAGCAAAAATATACTTATGCAAAATTAAGACAGATGCAATTTCGTGGGTTCAAATACCAATCAGCTAACATAATAGCTTCTCCCTTACTAACAAGTGATAACCATTTCCAGGATCTCAGAATAATAGAATCTAAAACTTCCCTCTCATCCAAAACACCATTGGAAAATATAATTCTATTTCTATGCAACCACAAAGATCACACTGTACTTACCCAAATAATTAATAAGCATATTCCTTCTCTTTTACTACAGCCAACACCAACCCAATAAAGTAAGTAAGTGAGTCGATAAATCTGAAGGCAAAACCAGTGAGAATCCAAGCCAACGCGCAGTAAAGTACCAGATTTGAAATGAAACTAAGCACGTTAAAAATAAATGAGTTGGAAGTTCCTCCAAACCACGACAGAAACAACAAGTTATATCATCAATTTGAACACCACAGTCAATCAATAAACCTCTACAAGGAAGTGTATTCAACAACAATTGCCAAGAATGAAGATTGAGCTTGATGGATCGAAAATAGAAAAATCTATTTTAAAATTTATTATATGGATAAAATGTGATTTAATATATTATATTTTTTATTCTGTATATGATAAGGAAAAACAATTTTGTTCTATCATCGTGCTAATGATTGATGACTTGAGTTAGATTCAGACATTAATGATTTATCGAATAAAATGAAGTAGTATTGTTTTTTTTCTTTTTTTTGTGAAGAAACACAAAAATTGATATCTGCTGACACCCTTAAATTGTTGAACAATAAAAGGTGTCGTTAATAAACAGAATTTAATGGAAAATATTTAATGAATTATATCAATTATTATTTAATTGATGTATTGAAAATATTTATTAACCAGCTTCGTAATTTGTGAACAAGCGCATATCTATATATACCCTATTTATAAAGTTTGCTTTTTTATTTTGTTCTCGTAATATGAAAGTAAATCTAGAAATTTTCAAGCGCATATCACTTCTATGCTGTTAAACACAAGGTTATTTTTACTTATGATTGATAAACATACGTTTCATGCATGAATTAGATTAGTATAAATTCAATTTAAATTTATTTTAAATTTAATTATATAGATTGGATTTTAAACTAATTTATATTACTTTTTTAAAAATTAGATTAATACTGATGTAGATATAGTTTAAAAAATTAATATACTTCTTTAGCCTAACAATATATATATATATATATATATATATGTATATATTCTATGTTTTTATTTTATTTAATATAAAGTAACATTATATAATATTATTACAAATTATTATATTAAAATATTATTATAAGATATAAAATTTATTTTATTATAAACTAATTAAAAAATAATTTTTAAATTATATTTAATAAAAAAATACATTGAATATATATATACATATATAATACAAATAGAGAAGAAGTAAATATTAACGGAATTAAAAGAAGAAATGAGTGAAACTGCCTTTCCGAGGGGGCAAGAGAACATCGTCTGAATAGTTTCTACCTTATATATGTTATTTGACGATAGAGATTTGAAACGAATCACTCTTTGCTTTATTGAGTGAACCGTTCAGCATAAATAGTATATAGGTGTTGGTCTTGGGACCTGGACGAACCTTTTAACATAAAAATTGGTTTTTCAACATTAAAACTTATTTTAATAATAAAATCTAAAATTTATCTAAACCAGAAAAAATTGGACTGGATGTTTAATATTTTAAAATAATTCAGATTTTTAAATCTAATCTATTTTAGTTATGGATTGGATCATTAAATCTAGATTTTTTGCACATCTCTAATTTCATTCATATTGAGTAATTTATAGTTAATTAAAATTACAAAGTAATATAAAAAATATCTATTATAAGAATACTTAGAAATAAACTTAATAAGCAATTGAAAAGAATCATATTTAGAGCAATAAAAACACAAGCATGTAAAGTAGGAATTGGCAAAAGATAATTTTGTTTTTTTTTTACATTTTCATCATTAATTATTAAATTAAATAATCAGATGTATTTAAATATAAAATTTTATGCTTTCAAAATTGATTTTTAAAATATAAAAATATATTTATAAATAGGAAAAGAATTTTCTAAGCTTAAAAATGTTTATATCTAATTTAAACCTTTGATTTAACTTACATCTAATATATTATCTAATGAAGTAATAAATTATAATCAATTTTAGTGTAACAAATTTTTATTATAATAAAATAATAATAAAAAATTCTGATTTAGTGTAACAATTTTTTAGATTTATAATAATATAAAAAAATTAAAAAAGTCACAAAAACTTTCTAACAAGAGTGTGAAAAAAAAAAAAACAAAACTCCCTTGTTTTGAGGCAGCGGACCAAACTCCTACCCAACAACTCTCTCATACAAGGCCCGAAAGAAAATATGTGCCCCGAACTTATTAATCCTTGCACATTAACAGTCATTCAATGTACACAATCACGAAAATAAGAATGTACACATTCTAAATAATTTAGAAGCAATATTAGTGAACCAAAAAAGAAGTACAGTAATAATAAAACACAACATCATTTAATGTCTTGCAAAAGTAAGTTCAAAAGATATGAAAATAAATAAATATTTCTAAAATTGAAAAAATGGGTTCTCAAAACATGTAATCGATATTACATTACCCAATTAAGCAGAACGTCTTTCCCAAAAATAAAATAAAAAAAACAACAAAGAAGCAGAAATGAGTGATAAGGCAGTATATTTTAGAAGTACCTAAATAAATGTGGAGTTAATAGTACCTCGAGTTGATGCCAAACAACAAAAGAGGGATTTCTTCGTTTCTTTTTCAGCATACTGTGCCATACCAAGTAACCAGCATAAGGAGTATCGGAGCTGATGCAGAAACCTTGACAACAGTAAATGAACGTGCCCCACTACACAATGCATTTGTCCATTTGCCCTATATGTTGTAACAAATTGCCCAAAGAGAACCCATGTTTCCCCATTTTGCGGTGCTAAACTTTAAAAACGGTGTTTTCTAGTCTTTATATGTCACTTCATAACAGTGGTGAAAAAATAAACACGAAATCATGAAATGGTTTAGACGTGGATTAACACGGTAACAGCGGAACAAACTTGATAACAGTAGTGAAAAAATGTTCACAGCTATAAAAGAAAACAACTGAAAGCTTATAACTTCTAAAATTATAAGCCCACTTTTTTTTTTTGGCCAAACAGTTATTCTAACTTAATATAATAAAAGTTACAAACTCTTAAAAAAATTTACAAGTTAATATTACTAAACACACTACTCCAGGGCTAAGAGAAATGCTAAATGATGGTTGGCTCAGTTTGCAAGATCAATGTATCAAAGCTAATAAATTGAGTGACCCTTGTCGGTAGGTTATGATAAGGCACATCCTCTCATGTTTTATTAATTTATAAAAACAAGGTTTACTAGTTTTGGGGAATTACAATTTTAGTCACTAAAATAAGTCACACCTCATATGACATATGCTGATGCGGAACGCATTTACAAAGGCCAACATGCATATTGGTTTCAGTGGTAGTAAAAGTAGTAAAAACCAGTTAATGTATGAGACCAAAATACAACCAATATACATCCACTGCAAGACAAGCGAAAGGGAAAGATTCGACATCGTGATTCAAATATCAATGTGCAAAAGTAAGGTACAACTGAATTAGCAACCCATGTGCCAATAAACAGACATGTGGGGAATACAAAAGAAGCAAACAAACATAAAGGTAGTGATGAACAAATGAACATCAACAGAACAAGCATCATACAGAGCACAAAATGGAGAAATAAGTATTATATTTATATTGGGAAGACCAACATTAAATTATTGAAGCTAGCAAACTGTTAATTGGGAAACAGTTCAGAGTCACAATCACATTCCACACGGATAAGCTGATAAGAGAATCCGGCAAGTAGCCCACTAAGTGAATAAAAAACAGACATACTCAAAATTGTGTCATGTGATCTCCACGGATTTTCCATGCTCGAGTTATATTGTGCTCCATGCTTCCAGAAACAGCACATTGACTTGTGCACACACGTCTTATTTTCACCTTTGGCAAATATTGCAGTTCAACATTTCAAATTGAATGACCATTTAGTGTTTGACTGAAATTAGACTTTAGTCACTGAATATTGGCATTCGAACAAGAAATCTGCTTCATGGTAAATTTTTAGTTCCTTATTTGTAATGTTTTAGGTATAAAATACTGTCAGGTCGCAACAATCCTTTTTTTTTTAAAGTTAAGCAAGAATACCGAGTTGTCATCCTTTGCTAGAAATGCAAAATATAGCCGTTAGGTAGGTCAAGATCATGCAGCGAGATAACATCAAATCTAATAAACAAGTGCACCACCGCATTGACCTAGTGACATGAACAAGGATTACCTAGTACAACACATTGGCTTAACCGAGAACCCCATACATTAGTTTTCGAATTAGAGGAAGATCTGAGACTTTCTAGAAGCTTCCCATACCTAAATTACGTTGAACGATACACACGGGTTGGTTTCAGGCCCATTTCATTGGCAACGTTATGTACTTCTTCGTACAAAGTAGGAGGAGCCTCTTCAAGTGGAGCCAAATTCTTACCAAATCCAATTAATTAATCAAAAGCCCATCCCTTTTAAACCCAAGAACTTGCGGAAGGTGAAGAAAAATATTATAAAAAAAAAAAACCCAAAAAAACTAAATGTCCCAAGTTCAACACCTAGAAAATAACATTCACATTCATACAGTGATGACATATCCACCATGTACCAAGGCCAAAGTCATGGCTTTTCACTTTTGTTCTCAACCCCACAAGAACATGATAAAGGCAGAAAAGAGGGTGACTGAGAACAAACTACTACTGTCAACAAGTCTCTGTCCAGCGTGGCTATCATCATTGCTCATACCAGATCCTGAAGGTCCCATACCACTGCCAATCCCTCCTAATACTCCAGGTGTTGTGCTGTATGGGGTGGTGCCGGTGGTGCCGGTGGTTGTAGAACCAGTGCCAGTGCTTGTTGATGGAGTTCCAGTCGTAGGAGTAGTGCCCATGGTTGGTGTAGTTGTCACTGGGGTTGTGCTTGAAGCACTGATTAGGATAACCAATCAATAGTCAGTCAAATGAGTATGAACATGAACCTTATAAAAGCTTGTCATGAAAAATTCTAAAACCACAAAAACATGGGGTCATAGCTAACGAGCCACTAGGATTGAGTATAGTTTGCATGAGATAACAAGTTTAAATCTCTACCATTATTGTATCCAAAATAAAGAAAAGAAAAGGAAAAAATGCACACACAAAAGCTAAGAGTTGGAATTGCAATCATAATAATTGAATTTATACATGTAAGACTTTGCAAATAATATAATGACCATATTCCTTATTTGCATAGTCACATGACATTATTATTCCCGTGAAAATGAAAATGGCTCGGGGCAGATGTCGATTAGCTGAACTTAAAATTTATGTACAGAGAGATAGACCTTCATTCTAGTTTCATAAATTATGAACGTGTTACTACAGTCTCTAATCTTATAATTTTTTTACTATTTATTCTGGTCCTTTCACACTATTTTCTGTTGACATTTTTACTTTAAAAAAAAAACTAATTTACTAAACAAAATACAAAAGTAAAAATTAAATTAAATCAGAGACATTTTAATGCTTACAATTTGGAGATTTGAATGAAAGCTTTTACTCGTTTAGAAAAACTACCAAAGCTGATCTACTTCCATATTCATTCTCAATTCTCAACTACATTTTTTAAATTGATTTTGACTCAGCATTAAGTTCGGAAAAGACCACACAACTCATCTTTCACTTCAGCTTCATTTTAAGAACAATAATGAAAGTATGTACTAGGATTGAAAATCTAATCCTTGGCAACACTTTAGCAGAAGCAAATGACCAGGGTTAACAAAGTACCAAACTCTACCTCAACCCAAAACAAATTTTGCACGTGCTTTGACGTACCACCTTACTCTTTTAACACTACCACAATCACAAAATGGAAGTGGGGACGTGTAAAAGAAAATTGTACAGAAAAACATTTCTATAAAATTTCAGGCAAGGTATAGTTGCTAACAAGGGAGATAAAAAGCGGAGAAAGTGATGAGTAAGAAGACTGGTCATACACAAACACCAAGAAAATCTCGACTTTTCGAAAGTTGATGGCCCAGATCTCGAAGCAAGTGTCTGTCCATTTGGCTTTTGTTTCGACTTCATCATCGAAGCTCAACATTCAAAATCAAAATTACTGACTCACGAGATATGGGAACAGTTCCCCTATACTGCTACACAAACGCTGGTGTCCACTTATTTTACCTATGATAGGATCAATTATTCATCATAGTAAAAACATATATAAAAAAATGATTTAGTGTTATTTTATAATAAAAACTTTTCACGACTCCTTAAATCATGATTCTCACTATAAAATTATAAAGACAACTTGTTTTGTCAATTAAGATAAAATTTTATTTAATTAAAAATACCATCAACGATGCTTAAAAAATTTTACTTAAATTGTATTTAAATTATAATACGATCAACAAGGACAGTCCTGGATAGTATTTTTTTTCTTCACAAAAAAAAAGGCAAAGCAAAAAAGCGCAAGATAACTGGATAAGAGAGTTCATTATGGACAAAATTGTCTTTCACAATGATATTGGCCATATTTTATTTCAGATATTCAAACTTTACCAAAGCATTGGATCCCAATAGTTGCAGTATCTTTTATGCACACTGCACTGCAACGGCTATAATCAAACAATAAATGGGCAATGAGTTGCAGTTGCAGGCATGAATAGTGAAATTACGATAATGTCAAGTTGGAATGAATAAAAAGTGGGTACAGTCTACCTTGGATTGGACCACATGTCAAAGCAAAATAAGTAAAACAGAGAAATTGAGAAAAGTAAGATTTAAGGGCGCTTGTCTTCCAAAAAAAGGAAGGGTGGATATGTGCCAACGACTCATTCAATCAACGCAAAAATTTCTTTTTATTTAATTTTAAAAAAGGGGGCAGATACGTCTAATTATATAAACTTGTTAATACAAGGAATAATTTAAATCAGAATAAAAAAACTAAACTAGCTGTTGCATATATATACAACTACCCAAAACAATAGCTATTTTGATGGATTTATTGCACAATTCCTTTTTCCCTTTTAACTTTTATCGTGGCTTTCCTTTTTTCATCATCATTTTGTGCCGATTTTCACTTCCACAATCATTGTGGGTTTTATTATTAATTCACTACATTCATACTTTCATTACAAAAAAGAGAGATGTAATTTGAGTTTCTCTCTACTTTTTAAAAAAAAAATAAAAGTGTGAAAATATTATATACTTTGTAATGAGAAAGAAGAACAAATCTATAATGCGCATGCGAAACCCGATTAAATCGATCTTCATTGTCCACTCAACATAAATATGTTTTTTATGTCCGAAAAAACACCACTTCATGTTTGAATAAACTTTGCGCCATTTAAATACTTCTAAATTTATTTGAAGTAGAGTGTACAAAGAACGTTGCAAACAATTTTTAAACTTATAATCAATTTAAATCATACAATTGTAAAATGGCTATTAAGTTACACGCTTATCATCATCACTTAGCGAATATGCCTCAGCAAAGCAATGTCCCCACCCCACCCTAGAGAACCCTCTTTAGTAGATAATAACTAATCTATGCAAACTATGCAAGTGCGCCCAAGTCCCCATTATCATGATAACCAAAAGTAAAAGTCATCACTAAAAAATCCTTAACCTTAAAAACCAGACATCTACGTTAACACTTTCAAGAAAAAAAAGGAAAGGAAACGCATATTAAATAAACCAAAGGAAAAACAAGTAATTGGGAAATCTTGAAGATGAAGAAGAACATGAGTGACTGAAATACATACCTGCCACTAGCAGGGTAGACACAACCGCTAGTGCCTGTTCATCAAGAACAAAAGGGTGAGCTACTATTAGTGTTAAAGGAATATATGCAAGAAAAAAAGGATGAAAAAGAGAGATAGAGGATTTACTTGGGTCAGATGTAGTAACAGAGGCTGTTCCTGCGAACTCGCATGACCCTTGCACTTGACCCTTCTTTTGGAAATAGCTATTAACGGCATAGTTGCAGTGGGCTTTAACGGTGTTGGGTTGAAAACAAGGCCCGTTTAGATGGAGAGGGTTACAATCAGCACCAGCTCCACAAGCATAGTCCAAGGTCTTCTGAAGGATCGCGTCGCTTCCGTCCTTGCAAACGCACCACGTGGCACCTATCAAAGTTTACATGACAGTAAGGACAACAACGTAAATGAAATTAAAAGGGTTTAGATTAAGGAGACAAAAGCCTTTTTAAGCATGGAAAAAATATAAGGTAGAATGTGGAATGGCACGCTTGTGTATGATTATTACATGATTGAGTATGTGTTAAGCTAATAAGATAAGAGACTCTTCATTGAAGATTTAGTGAGAAAAAGAGAAAGGAAAGACATAGATCCGGTGTTTAAAATATATAAAAGGAAGATTTTGCTCCTTTTATTAAACTAAAAACACTTGTAGTTTGAAGGATGAGTTGAGAGAAGGAGTTTGAAAGCATACTTGAAGTGCCACTGAAAGCCAAAAGAAGCACTGCAAGAGCTAAAGCAGCCATGTTAGGGGAAGAGCAGAGAAGGGTTTCTAGAGAGAGATATAAAACGTGGTACAGCAAGGAGGGAGGGAGGGAGGGAATGAGGAAGAGAGAGAGGGGAGTGGAGAATGGTGGGTGCGTGACAGAGTGGAAGTGTGAGAGTGAGAAAGTGAGGACAAAATATAACACAGAGGAGAGAGTAATGGTAAAGTTGTATTGTGTAAACGGTGCTATGATAGTTGGCCCCTTCTGGTGTCGGCTTGTAAGTGCTTTTTGTACTTTTGCAATTTTGGTCATCACTCATCACTACTACTAAATATTGTTAATACTTATTAGTATTAATAGGATGTTAATAATCACGCTCCGCTTTTCTTTACCCACTATCAAGGAAGGAAATAGTTTCATAGGGACTCGCAAAAGCCTAATAGAGTGAGGAGACCTGAGCAATGAACGGACCTTTGGGACTCTGTCTCTGTTTATCTTTCGCGATTTCTTTTGTCATTCATGCTACAATGGCATCCAATGAGAAGGGAGGGAAAAAAAATAAAGGGACTTTTGAACATTTTCTTGACTTCTTCTTGATCTTTGGTTCAAGGCCGGGTACAAAAAATGGGAGCAACTTAACAGTAATAATTAAAATTGATGTAAATTTTTAAGTAATTTGCGGGAAGACAATGAAATTGTATAAGGAATTATTAATTCACGCCAAGGTTTTTTTTTTTTTTCTTTCTGTACAGTCCCACTATATAGATACTTTAATTATGTCCAGTACTAACTCTGAAATTAAAAGATTTTTCTTTTGCACACCTCTTATTAACGGATCTTTGGACTAGGCTGAAATTTTAAAATCTCACATGCATATGTTTCATGCACCATGGTCCCATGTAATTCAATGTTATTGCTAGTTGTACTTATGGTGTGGGTCGCCAGAAGTAATGACAGGAATCTGGACTCAGGACTATCCCCTGCTTCTCCTCTTTAGTAAATATCTCAGTTACACCGTAAATATCTCAGTTACACCAACGGTCCAAGAATTGAAAAAGATGACTAACCACCAAAGCAATTGTGCATACAAGGAAAATGAGACGTAAATAAAAATAATTAATGTGAAAGAAAGTAGGTACACAACGCCAAAATTGTGATTAGTGGTTCATTAACAAGGTCACGTAGTGGCTACCAAATTAGTAATGAAAAATTTGTTTTTTGCTCACCATCCAAGACTATGTATGTAGCCTTAGAGCTTCAAGTCTCTAGGAATGGACATCAGGAAGATGTGCATGGCTCGCTGGGCCATCTCTGTAGGTATGGACCTAATCAATAAATCAGAACTCCATGTGTGGGCTGGGACCAACCAATCAACACAAATCAGGGTTAGGTTTTATAAGGGAACGAGGTCCATGATTAACAAATAGATACAATGTGCTCAGTTGATGACCAAAAAATATAATATTTTTTCTTGGGCTAAAAAAAACACCATTAAATTAAATTAATCATTAACAAATCAGTTAACAGCCAAAATCCTATTAATAGCTTCAATTTCATTCGTCACCACCAACATCTGTATTTGTTTATATAAATATGTAGCTCTTAAAGACGTGGCACATCTTTTAGCAAATTTTTATATATGTTTCTTTTTTGTTAGTTTGACGATTAAAATTAGCTGAACAGCTATCTGAAACATAACTCACAAAAGTATGATTTATTGCTATGATATATAGTTATACGAATTTAAAATATTTTTTGAAAATGTTCGAACTTATAGAGTCTTGTTAAAAAACAGTTTTTCTTTTGGCCAAAATAAAAGATAGTTCTTAAATGCCACAGATATAAGACTTACTCGAAACTCGACAAACTAAAGCAAATAATTTTACATTCTTCATTTAACAGTCAAAAGAACTATCCAACAGAACCTTTCGATGCTGACCAACATTCTCCAAAACCTAAGGCCTAGCATCGCAAGTGATACAAATCGGGAGGAACATAATACAACATGCAGCTACCATTATATATGTTTCAATATTTAAGTGCTTATCACGTGGGTTTGAATATGGAGATACTGACCGGGATTTTCAACAACTATAAACTTTTTAACACGTAGTTTGGAATAGTAAAATGCGGTTGCTGATGTCAACTTGAGGCACTAGCATGGATATTTTTTAATTTGCAGCCTATTCTTCGGGAAGAAGTCTCAATGCCAGTGTGGGTTTTGGGGCTGATTTTGATTTTCAAGTACCAGCTCGTTTCTTGGTTTGTGTATCCTTCGTTGATAGAAATCCAATGAATTTCAAAATATTGTTCCTATAGCAGCAATTTACAGGCAGTAGTACGGTCATACAAATCCAACACATCATTAAGATGTAGACCGAACAGAGTTAAACGTGATTTAGTTAGAAAGTCAAAATATTTACAGTGCATAGAGAAAAGATGCCTGTGGGTTCCATTTATAAATCTGTTGAGGAATTATTCCCAGTCGGCATCAAAGAATCCAGCATCTTTCATCTCAGAGTAATATGCGCTATCCAAAAGGAATTCTTCCTCCTGCAGCACATAATATGATGTTCATGCATTTGTGATAGAAAAACAAAAACAGTAAATAGCAAATAGTGCTTACCTGGAAAAAATCTGCCAGAAAAGTTACGTAAAGAAATGGAAGATACAAAGAGTGATAACAAAGCATAGCGAAAGCATACAACCTGCAGATGAGGACATCATTCATTCAGTACCAAAGTCAAAGAGATGATAATGGAGTACCTCTTCTAAATGCAAAGAAGTTATACAGTATTACCAATTGCCGAGGTCAGCCCCAATTCCTGCTAGCCCGCAAGCAAACAGGGTAATTACACTGAAGATGAACATTATAGCAACATAGTTGTAGAAAGCAGGCCTGGCTGCAAAGATGACAGAAAACTTCGTCAGAATATGGATCCATTAAGAACATAACAGATAACAAAATTAGGAGTTATACTCACGTGGCAGCTTCTCTCTCCATTTGGAGAAATGTACAAATAAAATGAAGCCATATGCTGCGGCTAGCAATAATTTATGTACTACCCACAAACACCACTTAATTATATTAGTGCTTCCGACAATGCTATTGAACAATGGGACCCCAAATCCAAAAATGTGTATTGCCTGATAAGGAAATGCTTAATCAGCAAAAGAAGTCAACAAAGCATGCACAAAAGTAATGCCAGTTAAAAGCCGTGTGAGGAATTAATTAACATGTAAAGAACAATCAACACCTGACACTGACAAGACATTAAAATTTTAGCACTGTGCCTCGTGCAGTAAGAAATTAACCACAAGTGAAAAATAATTGTAAGTTGTAAAAGCCAGTATTTTTTATTTTTATTTTTTTTAGGAAAGAAAAGGGCAAGTTCATATTGAAGAGAAAAATTACAAGCCAATAATAAGTAATCCGCAAAAGAAATGACTAATGAGAGTATCAAAAAATAATCACTATTTAAACAGACACTAAATTAAATCACTAAATCTAATTATTAAACATTAAATTGTTGTCCCCAACATAACTGCAACAATTCTTCCTAGTTCCTAGTTCCTAAGTGATACACCTCCTCAGGAAGGGAGTAGGAATGAAATTTCTGCTGCTGTTTATGATATTCAAGCACCAATAAGGCTAAAACCTTTTCCAGAAGAGTTTCTTAACATGCCTAAGATACCCTCCCCCCTTGCTTTTCAATTTTGTGTCACGGGTGAAGTTAATGCCTTGTAATGATCTGAAAAGCAGCTTCCAAGTGAATTTAAAGACTCAAATCACTGCAGTTAACTGTTAACAATACCCCAACGTAAGAGCATGTGATTGAAAAGAGAAATATATAACAATTTTAAAAATTGAACAATGCTGCATACCAGCATTTCATCAATAGAACAAAAATTAAATCTGTCAGACCAGATAAGATGCATCTAGATCCTTTTATGTACTGAACTTGATAGCACTGCCAGGACTACATTTAATTTTGGAGGTGAATGAACAGAGACAGTAATTGGGATTTAGGAGTAAGAAATAGTGGTGCAGGCATGCAAACCTATACACCAAACTTCCTGTAGAAAAACTCTCTTCAGTTTCAGGTTTTCTCAGCTTTGCCTATGGATATTTACTTCCAAGAAGTTTGAGAGATGCTTAATACTAGGAGGAAGAAGACAATCAAAATTGGGAAGCTTACTGACTTATTTCTTTATTAAAAAATAATTCCCGCTTTGTTAATATCTCAGAAATTAAATAAAAGGAAAATGAATTTTTCCATAGAAAGATAGAGCCTGGTTAAAAAATCATGACAAAAATTGAAAAGATTAGAAACATTTTCAAGTAAGCCCACGAAAAGGAGGTTACAATAATTCTGATGGCCTTGGGAAATTTAGATCATGCACGTTCACTGCAGAAAATAGTTGCCATGAACTTATGGACAAGTACTAGGAACTCAGAATCACTGCCAAAACAATTTCACTTATCATGCGAAAGGCAAATAACGTCATGTTTGATGCTGCAAAACTTTAAGTGTTCATGGCAATCACTGGTATTCCTTAAAATAAGGTAGCAATCATGGTGATCAACATTGCTGATACTAGCAAATGATGAATAGCCATTTGACTAGTTTCCTTCTAATAAATTTCCAATACAAAGATTGATGGCTTCCTCAGCTTATATTTGCAATTGTGATATAGGTTAGAATCAGGTAATATTGAAAACAAAAAACAAACCAGTAACTGAAGGGGAGAAAATACAATAAATAAAGGCAAAAATTATATGGAACAAGGAGAGAGAATAAACAAGTCTAGACACCATTCAGTCGTAAAACTAAAAATCCACTTACATTTTACAAAACAAATAAAAATGCATAGCACATGCATTTACATAACTTATATGAATGAAAACCATTCTTACCTTAAGAAGAGTATCCACAAAGACAATAATTCCTGACAGAAGGAAAGTGTGCGCTAGAGCTTCCATGCCATTCATGTAGTTATCCTTCAGTAAGAAAGTCATCAAGTTTATCTCTAGACACAGCATACCAGATGCTGTAAATAATGACAGGATATTCCATGCAACCTCCTTCTCAGGAGAACACTTCCATGACTGCTTAAACGAAAAAGAAAACAAAATTGAAAGGTTAAGAAGTTAAAAGAAGCAAATGTACAAATTGCACTGCCAATTAAATGGAAATAAATTAAAGAGACTCAAAATTTGTTATGAAGCGTGTGTGGAAACAGGAAAGACTATGAATTTATGACAAAGATTTTGCACCCATACAGATTACTTCCAGTCATTGGAATTCAAGAGCAAACAGTGACCCCTTCTGAAATCTAAATATAGATTTTTAAAAGCCCAGATAGTCGTAAGGCAACATCCATTATTATCTCATGCATAATACTCATTGGTACCACTCACTGGTGAGTGAGGGTGTATTTTGTCAGTATGGCGTTTAGGTTTATGGTACATTTTAAAATATCACTTGGTATGTTCTCAATATATTGTTTACAAACACACACACACAATTTGAAGTAATAATATATTTATCAAATTTTCTAATATATCCAAGGACAAACAATAAGAACATATGTATAATAAGTTTTTTTTTTTTTTTTTTATAAATTACAAAATATCACAGAATTCAAATATATTCATAACATTAAATACTACAATTTTCAATAAAAAAAATTTAGTTATTAATTTCTTATTTTATACCCTGGGGCACACATGTTAGAAAAATTGTATATTTATTGCTATAGGTGCTGGGAATTATGAATAGGTAGTACAGTAAATTAAACATTTTAAATAAAATTTGTCACTTTATCTCTTGTTTCTTTCTTTATGTGATCTTATTTATAGCCAGCTTTTTCCCCCTTTCCAATATGATGCAGGAGTACTTTTAATTAAACATTTTGAATAAAATTGACCACTTCATTTTTTTTTCCTTTTTATGTATGTTCTCATTTATTGCCAGCTTTTTTCCATGGTTATCAATTTTGGATAGCAGCACATAATGGCCAACCCCAAGAATTAAGTAATAATTTAATTTAATTCTATATTCAGTTTAAATGATATATATATATATGCTCAGAAATTTAAAAAAATGATATATTCATGACAAAAAATAAAAGGTCATAGGTTTTAAGCAAAACATACTGGTAAATAACAATAAAAGTCAAGGAAATAAACAAAACAATTGGTTGCATGGGAGACAGATCCGTGATTAACTACATCAAATCAGCTTTTTTTTTTTAATTCTGAAAAGGGAGAAGGAAATATCAACATTGTCCCTTGAAAAATTCCCCAAAACAATGCTATTTTGAGGGAAAAATAGTGCTTTTGAAAATTTTTACCCTAAAATCACTACAGCTGCTATCTTGGCCATATTTGTGGCTGCTACAGCCAAGGCACACCCCTATTCAAACTTTGTAGCTTCTTGTAGCTGCTCTGCAATGTATACCTCTATAGCTTACTATTGATTAGTGATAACTATGCTTTTTCTCCTTCCCAATTTGCTTATGGACTTCAGAAGTCTCCTTCCAGATTTAACCCCAAAGCAACCAAAGACTCACTCACCAAAGACGCTAATATTAGCAAATCCCCTCCCCCTTTCCCCTCATGAATTTACATTGCAGAGAACAGTGCCCCTTTGTTGAGTTTGGAAGCAGTGAGCAGAAGAATGAAAACGCCCGAAATTCCCAAACTTGTACTGCTGGAACATCAATAGTTGTATACCAATATGCATTCCGAACAACTTCAAACCAAAACACACTGCAAACTGGAACAGGCATCCCATATCATGGTTCAAATAGCCTAACCAAATTTGGTAACTTTGATCACATCATCATTTATGATCTCAATTCAAGTAACTAGCAGTCTTCCTTGCAAAAATAAAGCAATATATTCAAAAGAGAAACCTAATCGGAAAAAAGGACATCTGAATAACCAACCATTTTAGTGATCAAACAAATTTTGGGGTATCGCACAATTTCACAGAAATTTCGAAGGCACAATCACAAAGAAGTGAAGTAATAGTTGAAATGTTGTGGGCATCCCTATGACCTGATGAGTATTACAAACCCCCTAATGGCTAGCCACAAATTTGTCGCATTAATAACCAAATATACCCACAAATATAAGAACAGAATATTAAACTTGCCCACTATTTTTGGTCCATTTTCTGAACTCAGACACAGCAAACAATAGATAGATAAAAGGAAGATGTTATGGACCTGAAGAAAAGACCAGGCGAGGTTTAAAAGCGTAACGAGCCAGAGAAGGGCATAATAGGAAATGAGTATGTAGGAGGCTCCACGACAGAGCCTGTTGAGGTTCTTCTTGGCGTGCACTGCAAGATACAGAACGAACAAAACCGACGAAACGACAAGGAAGATGTCGTAGTCGTTGCACTTGAGATCGCTGGCTAGTGGCGACAAAGCCTGGTCTTGGATATTCCTTGACATGGTTTCAGAGACTCAGATCGATGGAGAAGGAAAGGGATTTTGGGCATCGAAAGAGCATCGTATGGTCGGTGCCAAAGTGGAGTTTTCTTCAAATACGAGATCGTGGAATTGGGTTGACGATGGAGGTTCTGTCACCGATTCTAGCAAACAACCAACTTTGATCTCTCCTTGTGAAAGTTCCTTGTAATAACAACTATCACTTTGCAAGTGTTTATTAGTTTTTTAATCAGTCTAAAATAAAATATTTATTATATTAAAGTTTGTTTAATATATATTTTTAAAATGACTGAAATTGTTTTAACTTGTTTATCAAATAATCAATGTTAAATCCATGTTTATGTCTTATCTTTTTTATTCACGTCGTGTATTAAAGATTATAATAAAAATATATTAATAATAAAATTATTTATTTTTTTATCTTTTAATAAATACCTTTAGACCGTTGATTAATAATTAATTATTTGTTTTTTATAACATTCTTTTTTATTCTATTTTTTATAACATTCTATCACATGTTACACCTCAAGCCAAAGAATTTTTTATATGAACTCATAGTTGTTCTGCATCTCATTGCAAGTACAAGATTAAAGCATATTCACATACGAATTTGAAATTGATTTAACTCTCCCAGTTTTTTTTAGTTTTTTTTTTTTCAATTCTCAAACTATTTTTTAAAATTGAGCATGTCTATATTATTAAAAGAAGAGAAGGAGGAAATCAAAACACTAAATTCTAAATCATGAAAAGAAACTGATATAAATATTGCTGATATAAAAAAATTAATAATTCTTTTTTTTATCTTTTGGCAATATTTTAAAACACCACAATAGAAAAAGTATATATTTACACGATTAATTAATGTTTAACAAAACTATCATTTTTAAAAAATAATAGTTTTAATTTTTATTATAAACTATTATTGATAAATTTTACTATCTTTAATATTATTTTTATAAATTTCAATGAAAAATATGTTCATAGTATTTTTAATAAAAAAAACATATATACCGGATGGATAAGATAAAAAATTATTCATAAATTTTGTGTATTATAAAAGTGAAAATAACTTAAATTTTATATCAAAGTTTAAAAGGTAGTGCTGTAAATTTATATATAGTAAAGTATGATATAAAATACTTATTCTAAAGTAATAAATGATTATAAAATTTATCATTATTTGTTTAATACTTTTTAATAATATTACATACATTATATATCTGTTTATAAATAAGGTTTCCCATTAAAAGTAATTTTTATCCTATATTTTATTGACCATTATATATATAAATGTACAATTTAACATATTTTTAGATGTTTTTTTATTTAATTTTTATCATGCAGGGTACAAGTGATGTACCGGCTTGATAGATAAAATCTAAGTTAGGTCAAACCTTACGCTGATGAGCACGTAGACTCTAATAAACTAGAAAAATTATTATGAACTTGTATATTATAAATATTTCTATTTGTAGAAGTACGTAAAGTGTGTTGAAAAAAATCTTGCTGAAAAATGTCACCTATAATTTTTTTTCCATAAAGTCACATTAAATTAATGTGCTATTGATAATATATTTAATTACATTTCAAAATTTGTCAAGGTTTTGGTATTTTTGAATGCTTTCGTTTAATTGATTCATGCACGTATATGGTGTATTGAAATTATAATACATAAATGTATAAAATAGATTAAGTGAATTAAAATATTTAATAGCTTATTTTGGTATAATTACACGTTAATCTGGAGTTTTGCTTGTACTATATTTTTTGTCTTGCTTATTTTTAATTTGCTTCTTATAGATCATATGTGTGTTTTAATAAATAAATAAAAACTCGTAAATATAAATCTAATACAAAAATTATAACTCTAAAAGTAATGTAGATCCACGTGTATTTTAATACGAAACTGCTATGTTTCTGCATATTTCTACCAGCAAGTGTTGGGTTTCTTTCTTTCGTTAATATTTTGATGCGCCAAGGATTAGCCCTACATGACCATGCTGCTGTATAAGGTGTTTAGTATACATAACTAAATTAGTGGTAAAATAGCATTATTTTGTTTATATCATTTAAGTTTACGTGTTTTTTTTTTTAATTATTATATATATTGCCTGACTTTGTTTAAAAGAGAAAGAAAATGAAAAATTCTAAGGGAGAAAGAGGGGGAGAAAGAAGGAGGTTAAACTCCTTCCTTATTTGGATATTTAATATTAAGAAGGAAGGGGTGATATAAGATTTAATTATATAAATAATTCTAAAATTAATATTTTATTTGTTAATTTTTTTTAAAAAATTATTACTTGAAAAACTAACATTTTAAAAAAAAGTTAAAAAAATTCTATTTATAAAATAATATGAAAGAGTGGAAGAGAAAAACATTCAAAATTGGAGAACTCAAAAAATAAGCTTTTGGAAGGTTTTAGAGGATTTAGAAAAACTTTTAAAACTTTCATTTCCTAATTAAGCATCTCCCAAACAAGATTAATTCCCTCTCATCCCTTCTCTCTCCCTCCTAAACCTAACTCTTAAACATAGTGTAAGTAGAAATATTATTCATATGTGCATGTAGATGTTTTACAACTTATTGCAAAGCACACGATTAAAGCATGCATATCTGCGTACAAACTTGAAGATGTGGCAACTAATTAATTAACCCAACCCTTTTTATAAGTGTATTCATATCATTGAAGGGAAGGGAAAAGCTTTACAAGAGAGAATTTAAACTTGAAATCACAACGATGATGATGAGTACACATGTGGGGAGAGCCTACGATGAGGATGGACCGAAAGGGGCACTGCTCTTTGTAGAGTAAACCCATAAGCTTCATCCATGTTGAGTTTTTGAGGATGAAGCCCATTCTCAATCTCCCAATCAAATGCATGGGCCAGGGTAGCAATGAGCAACTGAACCATCCTTATGCCCAAGTTCATACCAGCACATATTCTACGCCCAGCACCAAAGGGTATAACCTCAAAGTTATTGCCCCTAACATCAACATTAGCCTTCTCACCACCTGGTAGGAACCTTTCGGGCTGAAAATTTAATGGGTCAGACCATTCCTTAGGATCGCGTGATATGGCCCAAACATTGACTAAGAGAGTTGCACCTTTGGGAATATGGTACCCAAAGATTTCACAACTCTTAGCTGCAATCCGTGGGACAGAGAGAGGGGTTGGTGGGTGTAGACGAAATGCTTCCTTCACCACAGCCTCCAAGTAAGGAAGGTGGGGCAAGTCCAATTCGGTGACAAGCCTATCATGGCCCACAACAGTGTCTAACTCTTGTTGGAGACGAACCATAATTCTTTTGTTCCTGATCAATTCTGCAATTGTCCACTCTATTGTGCTTGATGATGTGTCCGTCCCAGCGGCAAACATGTTCTACATAGTTATTCATTAGTAACTTTGACATGCATTAATACGACTACATTACGTTAAATTTTGTTATTATGTATATGAATTCTTTCGTAATAATAAAATTTGCAAGCATCATAATTCGTGAACATACCAAAAGTAGCGCCTTGATTTCCATATGAGTGATTTTATCGCCATCCTCGGAAGCATCTTTAAGTGAGAGCAATGTACTCAACAAGTCTTGGTGTTTCTCACTCTTGGAAATCTTATGTTCCTCAATTAAGCTAGTTAAAAATGCATCAAATCTCTCCTGTAATTTCTTCACCTTGACTTGCATTTTTTGAAGGTCTAGCCACTCCAAGGCAGGAATGAAGTCACTAATATTGAAAACTCCGAGCAATACCATAAGTTCCAGTACCATAGATTTAAACTCATTTGCTTTAGGATCATTGCCACCGTTGTCGTCATTGAAAATTCGTCGACCTATCATTACCCTAGACAGTGTATTGGTGGTGCAAACATTCAGTAGCTGTGCCAAGTTCACTGCTTTGGAGCTTGAATTTGCTAAATTGTGTGTCAATCTTGCTACCTCTTCCTGCGAATATGTACATTTTGGTTACGCATTGTTATATTATTCGAATTTAAAAAAAAATTAACAGACTCAAGAGATTTTATTTTTGTCTGGGGTGCGTGTTTTTTATTTATGGCTTATCGTGTAACTTACCACGTAACTCTTCGTGCACAAATCTCTTTATTTAAGGATATTTATTCAAAATTAAATTAGTCTTTATTTTTAAAATTATTCATATACAATCGAACCCTAAACTCATGCTCAAACTGTTATATTAGGATTTAGTTGGATGACATTGCAAACAGAATATTTAATTACACTTCAATAAAACAGAATTACGTCCATAGAATTAAGCATTTAATATTTGATGATTCAAATTTCAACATCTTCCTTCCGCAAAATGTTTTTTATACATTTAATTTTAGTGCATTTTTCTTAAGCTATTGCACTTTCACTAGTCAGAGACTAATTGAATGGAAGCTTGAGGATGCAGATTGCGCAGGAAGAACGACAATGGTGAGGTGTAGTCGAGTACAAGATGATGGAAAAAAAAAACGAAATTAAGGAGAGGACTTTGTGGCTGTATTGGGAAGAGTGAAGACGTTTTTTCTGACTTTGTGGTGTTGGAATTTAGAACAACGAAGTTGGTGGACTTTTCAATTTAGGTGACGTGGCGTGGCGTTTGAATTTGTGTTGCATGTCAAATCTCAGTATCTATGTCGTAAGGTATGAATATTATGCATTTACGACCCGCACAAATAAGATAGAATGTTTGTTTTTATTTTTTATGTTTATTTAAACTAAATAATAGATGATAATTTTTTTCTTTATTTCATATTTTTATTATAATTTTTTATATTGCAGAGAGGATTGTGTTAAAAATAAATGAAATAAGATACTATAAGCTTCACATTTTTGTTTATCTTAAATAAGTCATTTTCTTCATAAAAAAACACAATCAGAGAGTATAATTTGATTTTTGAAAATTTACCAAACAAAAATAATAATACTTTTTAAGATTTTATCACATCATAAAAAATAATCTAACCCAAACAAACTCAATGTCTAAAATTTTAAATTATTATTATTATTCTCCATTTTTATAAAATATTATCGATTTTAACTATTCTATCAGTGTCTTTTTGTCCAGAGAAAAAAAATAAAAAAGAACTTAATTCCGCAAAGTCAAGAATCTCAAATATTAACACGAGAGTTTCTTTTTAAAATAATGTTTTTTTCACACGATTTTCTAGTTACATTCTTTTACACATTTTCTAAAACAAAATACTGCATTAGTGTCGTAATCCGACAGTTTACAGGGAATTTATCCAACTACGCAAACCAACACTTTATGTTTAATAATTAATTAATTACATAGACACAAAAATCAATCATTGGAAGGATGTACAATTGAGTGTAATTAGCTGACGAGTATGGCACACAAGAAAAAATTGAAGCAAAGACACAAAATCAATATGAATGGAAAAAAAGCTTACTTGTCGCATGAGTCTAAAATCGTCCACAGCCTTGGCAGAGAACAAGTGAACGGAGCATAGTTTCCTTAGGTAGCGCCACCGTGGACCATAGGTAGCAAAAGTAAGGTCTGCATGGTTAAAGGATAAGCATTTAATGGTGGAATTTGTGGGCCTGTTAGAGAAATTGGCGTCGTGAACCTTGAAGAACTGTTCAGCCACGGAGGCCGAAGACGCTACCACCACGTCAACGAAACCCAAGCGAAGGTGCATAAGAGGCCCATGGGTTTGAGCCAAGGCTGCGAGCGAGTGGTGTGGCACATGGCCCATATGGGGCAAGTTTCCCACAACGGGCCATGGCTTTGGGCCCGGTGGCAATGGCAATGAAGGCCCAGTTATGATCTTAAATAGCCGGTAAATGAAGATGGCTGCTACAATAGTAGCAAAGCCAATAATCAATGGAGACATTGATATCAATTTTGTGTGTGCAATGTTATGTTGTGATGATAAACCAAGTGTGTCTCGTACCAAAACAGCACAACCTGATGATACATATATATAGGGGAAATTTTGAAAAATAAAAGTGTACTTTGTTTTCATAACGCAATTGTTTAGAATAGTCATCGGAATCGGATTTACTGCTTGATCAATCATATGTTACAATTTCAATGTACGTATGTTTTGTGTGTGATAAGGATTAACAATTTCGATAGTGTTGATCATCGATTTCAAAAAGAAAGGGGAAAAGGTTGATTGTTAAAATCCTTTACATTCAAAATTCTTACTATCACATTATGTCAATTTGTCTGTGCCGAAAAGGATTTCATCTATTACGTCAATCAACAGTTAGTGTGATGCCGTTAAAACACCATTTGTCTATACAAGTTCGTATAGTAACTTTATTATCATAAGTAATTTGTTTTGAGTTTATTTTAAAATATCATCAATAAAAATTTACACAGTTAACTAGTTAAAAAAATATCATTCAAAATAATCAATTATAAAAACTTGCTAATCAATGTTCTAAAAATACTGATTAAGGAATTAGAAATATTTTTCCATCAACAAAATTAATAAATATATTTTAATATAAATTTTAACAAAATTTTGTTATTTTTTAACCAATATTTTAAAAAAATTTAGCAAGATCTTTATCAAAATTAACATATTTTATCTATTATTTAATAAATAATATTTTTTATATTAATTTTGACGATATTGTTGTCTAAAAACAAGTTAACTGTAATAAACGAATATGTGATATTATTTATTAATTTTTTATATGATACAAAATTATATCATTAATTTAAATTTGTTCATATTACTTTATTTTAATATATAATTAACTTTTAAAATTAAATAAATAAATATATATATATATATAGATAAATATATTCAGTAAAAATTAATATACATAATCACAAATTTAATATAGAATTAATGATATAATCTTTATTGATCAATTATGTGAATCTGAGTTTGAAATTTATAATTAAATCCATGTGTTTAAGCAAAAAAATAAGGTTAAAAATTATTGATGGTTTGCCCCTAAATCTTGAATGACAGGTTAGATGTATCCATAGAGTGTCGCCAAGTTTGAATGGTGGTAAGATTTTTCAAAACATTTCGCCATCAAATGGTAATGATTTGAAGTAATTTTCAAAGAAAAACTGAGGAAGGCAATTTAATGGATGTGTCCTACTACGAATCACAAATGCCGGAGTCACTCATATCTTCTACTCCATACGGTTAGTCAAGGTTATGCTCCAAAGTATGTTGCAAATAACGGTGTCGACAATCGGACTAATAACTGGGGATTAATCAGGGCTTCATTTTACTCATTCAACTTCTAAATAAATTCGACTAGGTTTTATTTTTGTTTTCAAAATAGTTTTGTATTTTTAAAAATATTATTTTATTTTATTTTATTTTTAAAACAGAAATCAAACATGCTTTTATTTTTTATTTATTTTACATGTCATTTAACATTAATACACATATTTAAAAAATTATCAATAAATAAATTCAATCTTATTCAAATAGTATTGAAATTATTGTAATAGTAAATTAACAAAAAAATTAATAAAGATATTATTTTAAAAATAATTAGTATTTTTTAATATTTTTAATTGATAAATATTTAGGAATAAAAAAAATACCTTAGTGATATTTAATGTGAGACAAAGTGAGTAACATCAAAATGTTTAAATAAATTTTACAAGTTTAATAGTTATAATATTTCTTTTATTCTTTGTTTTGAAAACACAATAAAAATGACATGTAATGATGTAATAAATTAGGTCACTCACGCTAATGTCTCGTTTATCTACATAGTTGAATTTTAAAGCACTATATATATATATATATATATATATATATATATATATATATATATTCTATTTTTTATAAATATATTTTCTTAATTCTAAATTAGTAAACCTAATAAAAAAATTTCAAATTATAAATAAAAATTAAGTGAGTCAAGCTCAATTTTTATATTGTTTAAATAAGTTAAATTTATATTTTAAACATAACTAATTTAAATTAATGAGTAAAAATTAAATAATTATACTTTACAAATAAAATTTAAACTTCATATACTTAACTGATCAATTAATTATTTATAGTATTAATGACCATTCTATCGAAACTTTAACACACAACCTCATGGTAAAGGAATTAAATTACAATTTAATGTTTTGATAGTGAAGTGTAACTTAAATATATTTTTCAATATTATTTATAAAAAAAATAGAAAATCGGTATAAATTGAATCAACTTATACAACTAAGTATAATCATTTCTTCGTCTTTCTTTAACATTGTTATTATTTTGTAAGTACTTGGAGAGAGTTTATTTAAAGTGGATAAAAAATTTACTACTAAAATTAAAATAAATAAATATTTTTATTAAAATTTTCTTATTGTCAATTATTTAAATTCAATTCTAGTAAATAAAATTAATAGTTTTTAATTTTATTTATACTATTGTTAAATCATCAGTTGATACATTTGATTAGCTTATGGTAATTTTGACTCGTTAAGTTTTTCAACATTTGAATTAGTTTAAAGTCACTTTACACCCTCGAAGAAAAGTCTAGTTTTCGAGTCATGTGTCAAGAAAAGTAAGTATTTCCAAAGATATCAAACGACTTCAAATTAATAATGACATATGAGTTGAAAACTAGACTTTTTCTAATTTCTTTGCCATGGATGAGATAATAATTAGAAGTTTTATTTTTTATTTTACAAAATATTTTTATACTAATGTCAAATCAATTACTAATATTTTATTGACTTGTCTGTCTATGATCAAAGCTAAGCTAAGGAGCTTCACCAAGGGTGCTACCCCAGTTTCAAGGTATTCCTTTTTTTGCTGAGTAGTTTGTCTTCTTTTGGTGATTATTCCTTCGATATACTTTAAAGTTATTTTTAGTCCCTTTCTTTAAGACTAATATTAAAGGTCTAAATCCCTCGTAAATAGAAAAAAATGATCCCCCAAAACAAAACAAAAAAGTTTTTGCCCTTAATACAACAACTATTCAGAAATTAAACATTTTAATGACCTGGAAATTTGAGAATAATAAACATGCACACTAAAATAATTTAAACTTAAAATGATATATGGTTGATTTTAATTTTAAGCTCAAATATTAATGACACTTTATGCAGTTGGAATTCAACAATAGCAGCAATTAAAATACATGTCTATATAGAGATAATCACCGGGACTATGCATATGTCCTACATCTCCTACGACTAAGTAGGTTTACAATTCCTGCAACGCGTGACCCAACCCATTCTCCAATCAATTATCATGTTATAATAACATGATCACACATGTGTCATGCCATCTCATGGGTGTTCAGGCAATATCAACCTCTCATTTCACATCTCAATAAATCATAATATAGAATAACGTTTGCATAGTCATGACCACACATGTCACATGTCATGCCGTCTCAAGGGTGTTGAAGCAATATCAGCATCTCATCTCACATCTCAACAGATCATATTTATCTATATTTTATTTAGTTTTTTTTTTCCGTAAAACTTGCAAATTCGACTAAAAGATTCCTTTAAGTTATTTTGGTCTTCATTCGGTACACTCATAATGAGTAGGTGAGTGGATTGGAGAGTCTATAAAAATACTTATTCGATATAGTTTTTTTTTAACTATAATTATTAACTAGATATATTATTCATAATTTTGAGTTGAACTAATAGAAATCATAAAAAATTGTATTTTTATAACATTTTTAAAAAAAAATTTTGAACCCAGTTAAGTTCAAAGACCGAAACATATATTTTTATGTTAGACCTCAAGTATTTCAAAAGACTGTTTCACAAGTGTTAGATTTTTCATAAACATCGTTGTACTTGATTTCACAAAAAGGTTTCTATCGTTTATAAAAAGGTTAAAAAATACAACTCAACTTTTTTAATATTTGATTTTACTTACAAAGGTGTGAGAAAGAAAATAAAGAAAGTAAAAAGAAAAAAGAACTGTTCAAATGAAGATGAATAACATCATGACAAAGCCTGTTATGCTAAATGGTTGCGGAAAGACATCTATATCTTGAATTATATATATATATATATATATATATATATATATATATATATATATATATATATATATAATTCAAGATATAGATGTCTATTATTATTATTAGTTGAAGCGGTGGATTGACACCCATGAATCAAATAATGCAAAAGTTAACTTTTGAATATGTGAAAGGATGACAATGATCTCATGACATTAATTTTGTTGTTAGTTCACGGGAAAAGAAAATAGGAGGGGAAATATAAATTAATTAATTGTTATATATTAAAAATAATTAAATAATTTTATTAATTTAACAATATTAATCTTATATAAAATATTTAAAAACTCCAGTTCTCTCTAGTTTTCTTTTACGGAATACCATGGTAATGTTTTGAGGTACATCCTCTGGTTTCTCTCTTCTATCTGTAATTCTCATAATAGTGTTCTTATTCACCAAACATGAAACATCTGTTGGTGGTAAAAAAGAAATGAAAAAAATTGTTTACTAGTTCTTGCTGGCGTCGTTTAGGTTCATTTGTTTTGTCTTTGATCATTAAGTCCTTCTTCAAGTAAAAATATTATTCATGTGAATGCATAATTATTTTACAATTTATTACAAAGCATGCTTGTTCACAGACAAACTTAGAGATATTGCAACTAATTAACTAACTAAACCTTTTTTGGGATCTTCGTAAACTAGAGTAGTAACTCTGTTATTATTAAATATGGATCCGCAATATTAAAAGGATTCGTACACGTGTGGTGAGAGCCTAGGGCGAGGGTGGACTGAGAGAGGAATTGCTCTTTGCAGGGTGATCCCATATTGTTCATCCATGTTAAGTTCTTCTGGTTTAAGTCCATTCTCCAATTCCCAATCAAAAGCATGAGCCAAGGTAGCAACGAGTAACTGAACCATCTTCAAGCCCAAGGTCATACCAACACATGTCCTACGACCAGCACTAAAGGGTATAACCTCAAAGTTTGTGCCCCTAACATCAACATTAGCCTTCTCACCATCGGGGAGGAATCTTTCAGGTTGGAACTTCAACGGGTTAGACCATTCCTTAGGGTCACGTGCTATGGCCCAAATATTTACCAAAAGAGTTGCACCTTTGGGGATGTGGTACCCAAAGATCTCACAATTCTCTGCCGCAATTCGTGGGAGGGAAAGAGGGGTTGGTGGGTGAAGACGAAGTGTTTCCTTCACCATAGCCTCCAAGTACGGAAGGTGGGGCAAGTCCTGTTCAGCCACAAGCCTATCTTTGCCTACAACATTGTCTAACTCTTGTTGGAGACGAGTCATAATTCTTGGGTTCTTGATCAGTTCAGCAACTGCCCACTCTACTGTGCTTGATGATGTGTCTGTCCCAGCCCCAAACATGTTCTGCAAAAGTTTGTATGTAGGTAGTAGGAAGTTCAATATGCATGAACGTGACTTTCCATCTCAATAAACACGATAATATGAATTTTTTATTAGATAAGAGCCCATCTCAATAAACATGGTAATTTGATTTTAACTTTTTTGGAAAAGCAATTTTGAATATCTTCTAAAAAAGATGAATTAAAACTACCCTCTAAATTAAAAAGTTAAACAAACAAAAGTAAATTCTAATTTTTTTATAGAATCTCTAAAAATAAATAGCCTTTTATATATTTAAAAAATTACTTTTTTTAAAGACTGCAACAGTAATTAAATTTGGGTGCAGAACATGGGTTATAAAAGTACCGAAAGAACGGCTTTGATCTCTGCATCAGTGAGTTTATCTCCATCCTCGGGAGCCTCTTTAAGTGATAGCAACGTACTCAACAAGTCCTGGGGTTTGTCGGTCTTCAAATTCTCATGTTCCTCAAGAATGGTCGTTAAAAATGTATCAAACCTCTTATGTACATCCTTGGCCATAACTTTCACTCCTTGAAGGTCCAACCAATTTAAGGCAGGAATAAAGTCACCGATATTAAAAACTCCAAGCAACGCCATAAGATCAAGCACCATAGACTTAAACTCAGCTGCCCTGGGATCACAATCACCAATGCCATCGTTGAAAACTCGTAGTCCCATCATCACCCTCGACAATGCGTTGGTGGTGCAAATATTTAGCAATTGTCCCAGGTTCACTGGTTTAGAGTCTGAACTTGCTATATTCCGTATCAATCTTGCTACTTCTTCCTACACGTACGTACAATTTGGTTAAACAGTGATATATCATTTCCAATTAAAAATTTTGACAGTTTCGAGTATGTACTTCTCTTTTTTCAAGAGGGGGTATAGGGTGCTTTGTGCTTTGGCTTAATATATGAAATATCAAAAAGATAGTTTCTTAAAAACATTAAGAAACTGATTTATCATATATAGTATGATTGGACATAAAATAGTGTCTAACTCTAATGTGCGCATAATTTTTTTTAAGGAAAATAATCATTTTGCATTGGAGAAGACATATTTACGGACATGAAGAAGAAAAATATGATTAAAAAGAAATAAAAGATAGTATACATGATAGATAAAATCATCGTAAGAAAGAAGAAAAGAAAAGAAATGAGGTGAGGTGAGAAAAGGTATAAAGCGTAAGTTTAATTTTAATATATTGATAGTAAAAAGTATTTGTATTGGTTAATTAATTAAAAATTATTGTAAATAAGACCGTTATAATAGTTGTTATAAAAGTTAATTTTTTTAATGATACGATAATTTATAATTTAATGATGATGTGCAATTTTTTGTATTTCATTTAAATTCTAAAATATTAAGTATTAAAAAGTTGGAACTCTCTACAAGCAAACATTTTAGTCTACCTGTTTAGATAGAATTACTATAACACGTAGAAAAATCATTAAAATCTTTCGGAAAGCTTGAATGTGATATAATAAATAAATAAATAAATGAAAATCTTGAATGTTAGTACATAATACTTTATACTTAATATTTAATTAATCTATTTTATTATTAAGTTTAAGTATTTTAAAATATTTTTTAATAAAAAAATATTTCTTATATTTTTATATTATACAATAAATACTTTTTAAATAAAATTTTATTACTTTAAATATTTTAGACGCAAACTTTAAGAATAAAAATTAGCACAATTATCAATGGAGATTAATCTGACAAGCAACTTAATATAACTTAAACAAAGTCTCTGGTTCGAGTCTTTGTATATACAAACAAATTTATAATAATTGACTTACTCACTATATCTAGATATACGACTTAAGTCGGTATATAAAAAACTAAAAATAAATAAATAATTAATAGTTATATTAATTAATATGAAAATAATAATAATAAATCAGTAGACTTTAAGTACCAGTAAGTGAGTAGTGAGTGTAATTAGCTAATGGCATATCATGCACAAGAAAAATCTTTAGGCAAATACAGCATAAATAAATACAAAGGAAAATGGTGTTTGTTTTAAATTTTAATCATGTTTTTTTTTTAATGAATAATCTAGCTTCTAAAAGTTAAAGTACTTATTTTCTCAAGTTGCTTTACTTTTAAAAAAATAATCCATCATTGAAAAAATATATAATAAAGTACGAGAATGTAGTGTAAACATTCTTTTAAAGGAAAATGATGCCACCTGTCGTAGATGTCTATTATCATCCACGGCCTTGCCAGAGAGCATGTGAAGGCCGAAAATTTTCCGAAGCGCGCGCCACCGTGGACCGTAGGGAGCAAAAGCAAGGTCTTGGTTGTTATAGCTCAAGCATTTAATGGTAGTGGTTATTGGCCGGCTCAAGAAATTCGTGTCATTAACCTTCAAGAACTGTTCCGCCACGGATGCCGACGCCGCCACCACCACGTCGATAAAACCCAACCGTAAGTGCATAAGAGGCCCGTGGGTACGAGCCAAGGCTGCTAGGGCACTATGTGGCGCACGGCCCATGTGAGGCAAGTTTCCCACGATGGGCCATGGCCGCGGGCCTGGTGGCAGAGGTAACGAAGGCCCAGTTAGGAGCCTCAAAAGCTTGTAAATAAGGATAGCTATTATGATGTTAGCTAAGCCTATAACCCAAGGAGACATTGGTTCGTATATGAACTTACCGTGTCTAATGTACCAAAAATAAACTTACCGTGTTTCATGCAAACGCAGCAGCACCTCGGAAAGGTACTTATAGAGTTGTTTGTGAATTGAAAAGAATGTATTTTGTGCACATAACGTAACGGTTAGAATAGTCAACTGATTTACATATTTAATAAATGAGATGTTACAATTTCAATCCAATAATTTTATTTATAAAACAGTGTGATTAGAGTGTTAGGATATTAAAAAATTTATCATCTTCAACACGTCATTAATGCTAGTTATCAATATGGCTTAGTTGTCACCTGTTAAACTGGAACAAATGGTGAGGAGAGAATTGCGCCGAAAATAAGATATGTAATAAATGAATCAACAGGCTATTTGAGTTCGAATTTTAATACATATAAGTATATTAAATATATTTATGATATACATATAAAAATAATATTAAAAAAAATTATTTTTAACTCCCTGACATGTCAATACACGTTAAAAAATATTTTTACTATTAAAACACACGGTGTGTGTTATTTATTAAAATAGTTATTGTCATTTATTTTCGCAAATTAATATATCGTGAAGGAGCTTTGAATTTCAAAGTTATTAATTACAGCCAAGGATTTCATCAAAACACTCAATCAACAATTGACACGATACCGAGTAATATACCATTTCTGTACTGAAATTTGACTATTGAGTATTAACTGTCTTATCATAGGTAAATTGCTATTAAACAAAAGAAAAAAAAATCTCATTATTTCATGTTTGATAATTTTTTATCAATATATCTTTTATCTTGACAAAAATTTAACCATTAGAATAAATATTACGGGTATAATAACAATATAATATATCATGCACACAAATATTATTGTAATACAAGTTATTGATTTAGGTATAAATTGGATTAAAATAAAACTAATTTAAATTTATTTTAAATTTAATATTTATATTAAATTAATTTTAAATTCAATTTTAAATTTAGATTGTATGGTAAAACATTCTAACTAATCTATAACATTTTTAGAGATAGTTTTAAATTTTAGTTAAATTATAATTTTTTTTATATGATATTTTTATTGGACTGAACTTATCTCGGTCACTAATTTAGTTAATTTTTTCACATCTTAAATACAAACATTTAAATTAATAAATTGTTTGTTTATGACATTTAAAAATTGAACTAAATTGTCGCAATACATCAAAGTTTATATACACTTTTTTCTATATCAATAAATAAAAATATTAAAATTCATATTATTAAAAAGATACAAAAGATTGTCTTACTATTAATGAAAAGATATAGATTTTTTTATTTGATTTATTGATCATGAATTATTACTCGCTAATATTTTGTATCATCTTTAGTTTAATTCTTCAAGCTCCTAATATATGTATTATACTATTATTATGAACTTAAAGATATTAAATATTATATCAAAATAGTCTTTACTTTAAATAAATTTATTTTTACTTAAGAGTATCATCTGTCAATTATAATTTATATGATTTTAATATTATTTTGATTATTACCTTAATTTGACACATGTATCATATTTTTTATTTATTCATATATTTTAAATTTCACTAATAAATTTAAAAATAATTATTCTTTACTAATTTTAAATAAGTTCCGTCAAATTCACATATTTTAAATAAATATTATAGGATTCATCATCTTTTAAATACTATAAAATTAACATGGATAAAAGTCATAAGATAAATTATATATATATGAGTTGCAGTGATATTATATGAATCTGTAATGATAAATGATTAATGATGTTTATAATCTTATTATTTAGAAGTATTAAACTTTATTCTAAAAAATTAAGATTAGTTTATTTTAAAGTGTATTTTAATGTAGGATATTTATGATTTTTTTTGTGTACTTATATCCTTATGTTATTTATAAGGTTAATTCAATATTGGCAAAATAATTTATTTAATATTTTGTTTCAAAATTTCTTTTACCCTATAAATACTCCTCTACCGAATTTGTATACTAACGTGTTTATTTGTATAAAATATTTACATATCTTCTTTCATCAATTAATAAATAATTTGAGTGCCCTAACTTCAGCCATATACAAAGTTAAGAGCACTTGTCTTATATACGTCCTTGAAAAGAAAAGAATAAAAAACTAAACCTTATATCCGAGTTTCAAACCTGACTTATTTTTATTAGTGACTTCTTTGTCATGCTTCTTGTTTTCGCTTATATGATGTATTTTAGCTTTTCCATCATGCTTCTTCTTCTACATTTTTGCTTTTATTTCATCTTATCTTTGTCGCATATTTAATTATATTTTTAAAAATTATATTTTAAATAAATTATCAATAACCTTATTTGAAAAAAAAAATTGATATCTGTGGTTAAAAAATTCTTGATTCATCGATCTACTGGTACAAAATTACATATTATCCATCTTTCTATTTTTTTTTTATAAAGGTGTTAGTCATATTATAAGTTAATAAACTTATAAATAAATCTAATAACAGATAAATCAAAACATTCAAATAATAAATAAATTAAATCAATCTAACTTAAAATTTATATTATTTGAATAAATAAAAAAGTGTACTTTGATTTTTTTTATGTAACTAAGTAAGTTAAAGTTTTTTTTTTTGTTTTTTTTTTGTCTATACCACAAATATTTTTTACTAAAAATATAATCATATTTTAGTTGAGTAGCATGACTATCTTTAACTAATTAATTTTTTATAACTTAAATGTAAATTTATATATTCAGCAAATTTAGAGTATTGATACTCATTTAACTGAAACTTTAACATTTAAATTCATGATAAAAGAATTAATATTAATAGAATAAAAAATAAAAGATCATAAATTTAAATAAATTATATGCACTAAGTTTTAAATAACTATTTCAACTAATTTCTCTAAGAATTGTAGTAGTATAGAACTTACCTTTAATATGTAACAGTAGTAGTATAGAAATTAATTTTAATATGTAACAGTACTTTAATTTATTTTTCTATTTAGTGCCATATAAGTACTTGGAGATGAGTTTTCTAAATTAGACCGATATCTCTATGTGTGATACAATTAAAATATAAAATTTTGTATTGTATAAGTGTGTTTAAATAAGTTTTTACATCATTAACTAGTTTTACTTATAGTGAAATAGTTAGATACATACATATAATGTATATACAGACCTATGACCTTTTCTTTCTCTCAGTTTCTCTAATGGAGAGGGGAAGAGGGATTGACAGAATTTGATGATTGATTAACATGTTCTAAAATAAGTTTATGGTAATTTTGATTCTTTAAGTTTTTCATCGCCTGTCTCCTGCAATTACAAACGAACATTGGTTAGATTTTATTATATTGATTTCTAAATCATTTAAACAATAAGGTCATTTTACATCTTACTTCCTACAAGAAAAGTCTAGTTTTCAAGTCGTATGTTAGGAAAGTATTTAATCTTAAAGAATTTTTAAATCATAGTCACATATATATGAATTGAAAACTATAATTTTTCTTATTTAATTAATTTTTCATGGATGAGATGATAATAATATTTAATTTTAATTTGTAAAATAATCTTATACACATGTTAAATTAATGATCAATATATTATTGAATTAGTTTGTCTATGACCAAAGGCAACCTAAGAAGCCTGACTGAAGGATATAGCTAACCTAGACTCATGGTAATCCTTTGATATGCTTCCAAATTTTCTTTAATCTCTTCCAAACAAAATTTTTTACCTTAATTTATATAAAATTTAAAGTCTAGATCGTTCAGAAAATAGAGATAAAATTTGATCATCCAAAACCAAAAATAAAAAAAGATCTTTCCTTAATATAACTATTATTCAGAAATTAAATCTTTTAATGTTATCAATGCTCAGTGACAGCAATTTTAAATTACAATGATATGCATGCTATTTTATTTTAAGCTCAAATATTAATTACATTTTATATAATTGTAATTTAAAATTGATTTAGAGTCAACTACTTAACTTGGTTTAAACTATTTTACCATCACTGCTGTATCCAAATCCATCTTGTATGAGAATATTCATTGAGCTTAATACTAAACGTGGTTGAGAACTTATTTTCGATCACAAATAATTTATTGATCTCAGATAAACTGTAGCTCAAACCCACCTCAAATTAAAATTTAACTTTAAGCATAAACCATTATGCACTTTTCTACTATCTAACAATCCTAACATCCCTGATGCATCACCAGCTTTAATGGACATATGTGCATGATAATAAATCCATGTCAACAAACAACATTTACGTAAATGATTTACATTTACATATATGAAAGAAAACATTTGACTCAAGTATGTTTCTTGCAAGATTATCACTCTTTATATATCATAGGAAAACCATGAATTAGAATAATTCATATCTTGTACTAGAAACTTAGACCGCACTTGTCCCCTCGTACAAATAAAAAAACATTTATTTTTTAATCTTTATTACCAAAAAAATATAAAAGGTTTGTGAAAATATTTTATATATATATATATATATCCCAAAAGAGTTATATCAAATTCGTTGTTGTTTATAAATTATTTAAACTTGATTTGTTGAGTATTTAATTAAATTCTTTTTATATTGAACCTTAATTATTTATATATGTGTGGATTACTTTAAAGTCATTATTTTATTCACATAATTGTATTGAAAATTATAATCATCACATATCTATTACTATTTTAAATTTATAATTCTTGAGTCTTATTTTAAAGAAAGTTTATTTTGACAAAGATAAATTTGATGGTATCTTGAACTTTGAATGAGTTAGACTAGTTTAACACCTATATTTAAAATTATGGATATTAGTTTTTGCCTATAAAAAAAGAAGAGTTTAATTATGTATTTTTACTTTAAAATTTTCTTCTGAAATTTTAATTTAGTCACGGTGGATCAAACCTTTATGAAGATATTAGGGATGCAAAAATAATGTCTGCATAAATCATATACTGCTAATTAGTTTAAAGTTTCAAATCCAA